AGTATATGATCTAGTTAAAAAAAGAAATATCTAAAAGACTGAGTATTATTACTTGTTATAGTAAATATAACAGAAGATGAAAAATTACTAATTTTATTTATTTACAAATATAAAATATCTTGTATTCTCAAAGAAATTAATAAATCTATATTATCAGTATAGTATTATGTCTTAAATTTATGATATATATTATTAATTAAAAAATTCTATTTTTAATAAATAATATAATATATTATCAAGCTGATAATATCAATAAATTATTAAATATCTGAATTCATTTTTTATTTTCTAATATTATTTCAGTTATTTAACTTATAAATCAAGAAATATTATATAGTTTAAAGATAAATAATTTTATTATTATATTTATAATTACTTTTTATTAATATAACTTATTAATTAAGATATAATATAAAAAGATTTTATGTTCAAAAATCATTATTTATAAAAAATTAATTAATCAAGAAAGTTAACTTTCAAAAACTTTAATTTATAATATTATTTTATATATTAATTATATATAGAATATGATCATAAAAGAAATAATTAAGTAAAATTAGACATAGTCTAATATTCTTCTATTCTTTTTTTATTTAAAATACCAGTTTTTAATAAAAAAGTTGAGATTATTAATCTAATAGAAATCAGATCGCAAAGACTAGTATATGAATTAGATTAACTAATTCAATAATTTTCTATTATAGAACTACTTTTGATATATAAATTTATATTTATTGATAATAATATTAAGCAAAAAAGATATTAGTATAAGAAAAATTATAAATATGATATTTGAAAGAGGATTGAAAAATGATAATAAAGAAAAAAGTAAAGAAAAAATTTCTCTTAATAAAGTATTGAATAATATTAAAATTCTTATTATATTTATTAAGTAATCTGAATAGAGTATTAATATAAATTTTTATTATAATTTAGTCAAGTTATAAAAAGAATTTGTTACTTAATATATAGTCAAAAAAAATAAACTAGTATTAATTAATTTTTAGTTAATTTTTAATTATTATAATTTAATAAATCTCTAGTAATTTGGATTAATATAATAAATTTTTTCTTTCTTCATGATAATATCTGATATAACAAAAATTTTGATTAATTAGATCTATCAATATATCAGACTAAATAGTCAAAATAAAATAATCTGTTATATTAATATTAACTATATATATAAATAAAAAAATAAATAATTATAAATGAAAATATAAAATAGATAATATATTAATTATAGTAGTAGAATAAGAAAAAAAAGAAATTCTATTAAAAAACTTTTTATAGCTAAAATAACTTAATTATATTATGTAACTTTCTTAATAAAAATAAGATGATTTGTAATATAATATATAATATGGTAATGATCTGTGAATAAAGTATAATTTTATTATATTTATTTTAAAAAAATAATTTATTATTATTTATCTAATATATTAATCTTTTTGTACTAAATTATATTAGTAATTATATTTAATTAAAATATAAAATTTCTTAATAAATTTAAAAATTACTTTTTGAATAACTTAAAATAAAACTAATATATTTTATTTATAATTAGATAATTAAATAATTAAATAAAAAGACTAAATAAAATATTAGAAAAAATATTAAGAATATATATAATATATAAATAAGATCAATAAAATAAAATTTAATAATAATTAAATTTATTTATAATAATAGCAAATAAGTTTTTATTAAATATATATTATTTGAGTTAGATTATAAATAAATATCTTATATATTAATTATTATTTTATTATTAAATAATAATATTATAATTTATAATAATTTATAAAATATTAGAAGAATATAATAAAAATAATTAAAGATTTACTATTAAAAGTATAAGATAAATAAATAAAATATATAAATTAATATAAAAAAATATGAAAAGTTTTTAATTAGAAATCAAGTTTTTTTTATTTATAATATTAATAATCTTATTAATAAATAAAAAATAATCAAAAAACTCATATTTAAATTTATTAAACTCTTTAATATTATTAATAAAATTTTTTTATTATTTATAATTATAGCTATTATATAATATAAAATTATATTTAATATTTTATATTTTTTTATTGAAGAAATATAAGTTTAATAATAAATTTAACAGATTAATTTTTTTATTAATTATATTTATCTCTAATAATAAAAAAAATATAAAGTAAAAAATTTTCTTGACAAGTATATTTATTATTATAAAACTTAATATCTTATTAAATAGCTAGATTATTTTCTTTATAATATTATTTAAAAATCTTTTGAGAATTTTAAAAAATTATAAAAAAAATTAAAATTTATGTACTTAAATATAATAAGAATATTATATTTTAAGTAAAAAAAATATATATATATATATATAATAATTTAATTAGATTATATTCTTTAAGATTAGATTTTTATTTTATATAATTTGTATTATATTTTACACTTTATATTACTTTTTATGCTAATTAATTTTATTTTAAATATATAAATAATCATTATATATTAAATTAATATATATTATTATATAAATAATTACTATATATTTTCTAATTATTAATTTAAATAATTAATATTTTTAATTAATATTCTTTTAATATTTTCTTTTATAATTTTATTTATTCTTATTTATATTATTATTTATTTTTATTAACTTATTAAATAAAATATAACTTATCTTTTAAAAATATAATATAAGATAATAATTTTTTAATTATATAAAATTATATATAATTTAAAATTATTAATTTATTTATATTTCATATTTATTTTATTTTATATAAATAAATCACTTATTCTGTGATTTTAATAGATCTAAATACTATTTAAATAATAAAATCATAAATATTTATAAATTAAAACTATTTACTTTGCATTTTATTTTGTTTACAATCATAAATAAATAATCTTACAAAATGAAATGAATAAATATATGCAACAATATAATTATATTAAGAGAAAATATCTTAAAAAACCTGAATATAATATAATTTGCAAGTGACTTTGGATAAAATTTCTATTAATATAATTAAAAATTCATTTAAAAAATATAATATTTCAAATGTATTGGATAATGCTAAAGATAATTTAATTTGAAATAATGAAGAATTAGAAAATACAAAAGAAATAAAAGAAAGAGAAGTTGTAAATCTAGAAAATGAATCTGTAAATGAAGAAAATTATTTTGAAAAATTAAATATGTATTATAAATAGTAATATAATAATATAATAAATATAATACTTTTAATTTTTTAATTAATTTAAGATAATGCTTATTTACGGTGGTCCTTATTCATAACTTTCTTACTTTTTGATCTAACTAGGGGTGATGCTTATTCTCAGTTGATTCCTATTACCTGGTAAATACGGTAAATCAAGTATAAAGATAATGACATAACATGTAAACTTCAAATTTTTATTTCTTATCATAAGCAAAAAATTTGTCTTTTTAGGTTGTTTATTTCAAAGAGAAATATGAATTATACTAATAAGGTTATTACTGACATTACTAGATGTTGGTACAAATGAAGACAAATTTACTTACTAAATTCACGACTTGAAAAACTCCGCAAGCGAAACACCATTCTGAGAATTCATATAACATTTATGTTGATTTTTCAAATAAACATCTTTTTCATGTCGAAATCTCTCGTAATCCTCCTTCGCCTTAGACTCCCAAAGTTCACGATCCAGCGACGACAATCGGCTCCATTTTGTCTTTAGGAACTGATCGATAGAAGTATCGGGATAGATTTCTGTAAAATTATCAGCAAACTTTGTATAAAAGTGTTGATAGGCTGACTTTGCCCGAATGGGAACTTGTAGTCCGAATTTCAAGTCTGGGTGTTGTGAAAGTAAATAATGTGGTTGAATTGAGTGTGGTTTGAGCGGTGGTTGCGTAGCGGCGATTGATGGTGATGGTGTGGGGATTGTTGTTGGAATCTTTTCTTGGATGTTGTTATTTGATGATTGGAGTGGTCGTGGTAAAATAGGACGCAGTTTAATTGGTGGATATTTTTGCGATGTTTTTTGCGCTTTAGTCGTAGATTTTGTACTTGTATTTGTGGAAGTGGCAGAAGTTACGGTATTATTGGTTTTGTCGTCAGATTGGTTCGAATTTTCTTTGTCAGGAACACCAGTTTTCTTGATATTTTGATTATATAAAGCTTCAACAGTCTCCGTAGCTTGTTTAAGTGTACGAGTTGCCAAGAAACACAAATTTTCTTTTTGAAACCTTTTTTCGTCTTCTTTCGCTTGTTGCTCCCATGGCTCTCGATCTTCTTTTAACATTGAATTCCAATGATCTTTAATCAGTTTATTGATACCGCCATAAGTTTTGTTGGGATGCTGTGCAGTGATTCGCGGTCTGATGTAATTTGAGAAATGCAGAAATGCGGGAGAAGGAGGTTTTGGAAAAGCGACGAATTGGTCTTCTTGTTGACGTTCAAAGAGATTGATGTCTCCCATAATTGATGATTGTGTTGTTGCAAGATTATTTGCTGTTGATGCGGTGGTTATGATACTTGAAGTATTTAGCTCGAATATATTGAATAAAGATGAAGATAAAGGTGAAGACGGCGGCGGCGGCGACGGTTCAATAAATTCAACATCCGAAAAAATAGGATTTTCAGCTAAGGAAATTGTGCTTTCAAAAGTTTCATCATAATCGAGATCACCACTTTCATCCACATCGTCATCAGAACTTTCATCCTCATCGTCACCATCAGAAGAACTAGAAAAATAGAATTTCGGAAGACTGTCCAGTTCGAATGATGATGTCGATGATGATACTGAAGACGCGTCATCTTTGAAAAAGAGTACACGGGATTTCTTTAACGGTCGAGTATCATCGAGCTCGGGTGCCTCTCGTGAAAGAATATCTTGTTTAATATTTTCGAATGAAGTGTTAGAATCTTGTATATTTGTGACCATTTCCTGATACATGTTTTTTTCATCCTAACATCAAGTATCGCGTCATTATATAAGGTGAATAGTTTAGTATCGAATTATACGAATCAAGTTATTCCATTTATCAATACTACTAGCTGCCAATACCAACCTGAGTGAGATTTTGCCAATTAAGCTCTTTAGCACGTTCAGAATAATCTTGCCTTTCTCTCTAGGAAATCAAGATGCGTCAATTTCTGAATAAAACACTTAATTCCCGTGATTTTCAGTAAGCACAAGGTTTTACGCTTTTACTACGTTGTTACATCGTACGTGCAAGCGACGACATAGTAAGGCGTAGTTTTCGTATTTTTTACTCTTAATTTAGGAACAGGTGTTCAACGAGCATACCTCCGTCAATACCGTCCATTTTCCTTCAATAATTTGAGACAGTGCTTCCACAGTCATTGTAGGATTCGTCGCCAGGAAGTAAAGCCTCGCTTCTTCACAGTAAAGCAAGTAGCCATAAAACGGAGCTTTTGGTGCTGTGAGCAAGAAAGAATTGCTGTTTGTGATTGTATTTGTGGGCAAAAATAAGGTGTTCGTGGTAAGTTCAAGTAACATATTCGTGTCGGGTGAAGAAGCAACCATTTTTGGTAATGTAAGTGGTGTCTTTCGTTTCTTTTAGATAGTTTACTATGTACAATGTGGTGATGGAAGAAAAATAGCAACGTAGCAGACGCAGGCAAATTTTATTGACGATAATTGATACGCGCGTGCGCTTTCAGATCATCATTTATTTGACGCGTTTTTCTTTGTGAGATTCTTTTCTCTTTTTGGGTAATTGTCACATTTAAAGATACAAAGATATTCATTATCGTCTGCCATGTCAGAAAGCCAAAAAAGTTCATTTATTCAATTGAATCAAAATTTGATGTATTCTTTATTATAATCTTTTTGAATCACGTGAAATTGCATTATTCTTATCGTTATCTTTGGTTCTCGTTATGGGAAGAGATTTTAAAATCGAAAAAAAAAAATGGCTGAAGATGATGATTTGCCAATGTTGTAACTAAAATCTAATCTCGAACAGATGTTCAAAGACTAACGTTAATAATCAGTGTCTAATTATTACTTCCTATTATTTAAATATATATTACTATATATGAATAAAGGTTATCAGCCCACACTCTATCAGCACTACATGAATTTCTTATAGATCAACAAACAGCGCAGGATCAATTTGAGAAATTACGTGCGAGGTCAGAAGCTCGATTTAATGAGAATAACAATGAAGATGGTGATCAAGCTTTGAATGATGGTGATGATATTAATGAAATGAATTTGTTCAAGGAGGATTGGCAGGTGTTTTCATTTTTCATTTATGCTGAAGATGAATGATATGAGGATATTAACGTATCGGTATACATTTACTTACATAAATACTTGGATATAAAGTTAAGCCAATTTTGGGTATTTATCCTTGAATTTTTTGTATTTTTAATTTAAAAAAAAAAGCAATCGATAATCGCTTTTTTGGTGTATTTCCAGTACGATGAAAATACCTCACAAACAATCGCTGAAGAAATACTAATAAATGCTGCGATCAATAAAAGCGATGAATATTTTCGCATAGCATGTATCAGTACTCCCACGATTTTTGTGAAATTAAAGGTATAAAAAACATATATAATGTTGGTGATTTTCAAAAAATGATTTTTGTAACACAAATATTGCTTTTAATTTGTATGTGTGTATGAACAAAAGTCTTTAATACGAAAATCTCCCAACAACAATTTGTTGCGAGCTTCTCTTTTCGAGTACGATACACGATTTGACGTTTACGGAGAAGATTTCATTCACTACGATTATAAACAGCCGACTCAGTTTCGTGATGCTGTACTCTTGAAGGGAACATTTGATTTTGTGGTTGTGGATCCGCCTTTTTTGAGCGAAGAGTGTTGTACCAAGACAATGATTACTGTTCGGTGGTTGGAGAAGCGGGATGCATGCAAAATAATTGCGTGTACAGGTAAATTAATTGAAAATGGATGTTCTGAATTTTTTTTGTTATCTTTGAAACGAGCAAAAATAAATTGTCTTTTCTATTGAATAGGTGCAGTTATGGCTGATTTGGTCGAAAGATTGATTAAAGCACGAATAACTTCATTTTATCCTCAACATCAAGGTGGATTGGCAAATGAATTTCGTTGTTTTACGAATTATCAAAGCGAAATTTTGAAATGGAATGATGATACTCCTGAATCATAATATCATATAATAATATTAAATAATTCTGTTAATAATTTATATTTATGTACCTGATAATATCAATGTTCTTCAACCACTAAATGTTCTCCCAATGCACGTCCATCCAATACTGCTACGACTTGATCAGACATAAGCAAATCCTCGGATAACGAATGTTCAACAAAGGATTGTTCAATCAAACTTTGATCGATGATGTTAGACGAATCAAGTTGTAACACATTCGACAACTGTTCATCTACACCATCATCAGCATCCTCACCACCATTAACAATGATAGTCTCATCATTAACATTATTACTATTATTGTTATTATTATCATCATTATCATCATCATTTAATACGGGCGGTTTAACCGGGGAAGAAGGAGGAACATGTTGAATATCATGCCTAATATTTAAACCGACTTGTTGATTCATCAAATCAAATTTAAGTTTCAATTGTCCATTACATGCGAATCTTTGTATTCCTCTTCTCGCCTTATTATTCATCATTCGTTGTGGTGGAGGTTGTATTTTATTGGCTGGTGGTTTCCAAGATCGAAGGTCACTCTGGCAACAACCCAGCCAAACAGATCCACGTCCAATGTGTAATGAACTTATGTAAATATCCCGAATCTCCCATCTATATGTAGACCCATTACTGACAATCTGCGCGAATATTTCTGCAAGCTGACGTAGCTCATCCTTGCTAATTCTCGGGGAATTTGGAAATATCTTTTGAATAAAGTCGGGTTCCAGTGTTATATGAAAGCCAAGTTGAATTGGTTGGTTTATTTGTCTGGCCTCTTCAAAATTACTATGTACAATCATTTCAATTTGATCTGATTGGCATGTTATCACATTAGTGTTATTAGTTGTTGACGTTGGTGTGATAATCTCTAAATCATTTACGTGACTGACTTGTTCGCTTATGTCTTTTTGCTCATCTATTTTTCGTCTTTTTCTAGCCGTTGAATTATTATGCGCGTAACTTTTCCTCTGAACGGAGCACCGATTACAACTATTGAATTCTCGAATGACGGTACCTCTTACTCTAACAAAGTCTTCTATTGATCTTGAGCAGTGACATCTACAACAGGTTTTTGTAAAACCAGGTATTTCTGGTTTCGTCGCGTTTGAAGTACCTACAGGGTCTTCTACCAAATAATAGAACTTTTATTGAAAAAGGAATAAATTAGAATACCATGAAAAAAAAATTAGAGAAATACCGAATACAGTATCCATTCTCAAAAATTAAAAATTTCAATAACAAATGTCATACATGTAAGATCTTTGTGATAAATTTTTTTTGATTGTCGCGTTTTTTTTATACATCACAATGTTAAAGACTTTAAAACGAATTGGTTTTTTGACGCGTAACAAGCATTTATCTAATGTTGCCAATGTAAGCCTCCGCATCATTATCAGAAGAATTTGTTTTACGTAAGAAAGCAAACCTAACATTTTGTTTACCCTGTTCAGCGAAACTATTTATCAGCTTTGGCTCAAAAAGAAGTAAGTGGAACAATAAAACTAGTTGTCAAATTATTTCAATGCCATTATTCTATATATATACTTGCTCACGTTACCTTAAAGTATTTGAATAAACCCTTAATAGAGACCGACCCTGACATTTTCGATATAATAGAAAAAGAAAAAAAACGTCAACGTGAAAGTATCGTGCTTATACCCTCGGAGGTACTACAAAACAATTATCATAATATTATGCAGATACCTCTCTTAGCAAAGTTATTCAATATCGTATATCTAATTAAAAATTGTGATAAATTGAATTAATATAATAAAGAACTTCACTTCGCGTGCTGTAATGGAAGCCCTTGGATCTATCATGCAAAATAAATATTCGGAAGGGTATCCTGGTGCTAGGTAATTTCCTTTTATATTGTAGTTGATGAAGAATATGTTTTTACGGCTTACATTTGTAAAAATAATATTTTGATTTGCTTTCTTGTGAAGATATTACGGTGGTAACGAATTTATTGATCAAGCAGAAAGATTATGCCAGAAACGTGCATTGGAAGCTTTTAACTTGGACGAATCTAAATGGGGAGTGAATGTTCAAGCTTTATCCGGTAAGTTTTACCAGTTAGATACTATTAATATATGAATTAAATTTGTACTTTTAGTAAAATTATAAGATAATTCTATAGGCTCACCCGCAAACCTCTACGTATATAGTGCACTATTAAAACCACACGAACGCCTAATGGGATTAGACCTGCCTCATGGAGGACAGTAAGTTTACGAACTACCTTACTCCTTACTGCAAGCGTTATCCAAAAATTATGTTGATGGATCTCATTCTAGATAGTCTATCCCACGGATATCAAACAGATACGAAAAAAGTATCTGCCATCTCCGTCTATTTTGAAACACTACCGTACCGTCTGAATGAGCAAACGGGTATCATTGACTATGACGCGTTGGAAGCCACCGCGATTTTGTATCGACCAAAACTCATTATTGCAGGTGCTAGTGCGTATCCACGAAATTTTGATTATCAGAGGATGAAGAAGATTAGTGAGAAGGTTAATGCATATTTGATGGCTGACATTGCGCATATCAGTGGTATTTTTCTTATTAATTTGTATTATCGTAATATTTGGATTTTGTTTTTTATCCTATAATGATTTATGATTAGCTATAATTTTTTTATTTTGATAGGTCTTATCTCTGCGGGTGTTTTACCATCACCTTTTGATTATGCCGATATCGTCACAACTACAACACACAAATCGTTGAGAGGTCCACGTGGTGCTCTTATATTTTTCCGAAAAGGAGTTAAAAATGTTGATAAAAAAGGCCAAGGTTGGGAAATAAATGTATATTTGTATTTTAAGTTTCTTGTTTACTATATGTTTTTATAAAGTTGATTCAACAGATTTCATGTCATTTTTATTAGAAATACAATATAATCTCGAGGTTCCCATAAATCAGTCAGTTTTTCCCGGGCATCAGGGTGGACCTCACAATCACACAATAAGCGCACTGGCAGTCGCATTGAAACAAACTAAAACCTCGATATTTAAAGAATATCAAGAGCAAGTGCTTAAAAACAGTTTGGCTTTCGCGGACGCATTTATAAAGAAAGGGTATAAGTTGGTCTCGGGTGGTACCGATACACATTTACTTTTGCTGGATTTGAAACCAAGGGTAAATACTTATTACTTAATTCAATCAATCGCTTGTTCGTTCATAAAAAATATGAGTTTTATTATTTATTATTTTTCTTGGAGGTAAATAATTTTGATATATGTTTATACATATTACTAGGGAATTGACGGTGCTCGTGTGGAACGTGTACTCGAACTAATGAACATTGCTGCAAACAAAAACACCGTTCCTGGAGACGTCAGTGCATTGATCCCGGGTGGAATTCGTGTTGGTACTCCTGCGATGACGACTCGTGGACTGGTTGAATCCGATTTTGAAAAAATTACAGAGTTTATTGATCGTGCCGTTCAGATAGCAATTGATGCGAACAAAAAAGTTAAAGGTATGTTAAATATTATCTGCTTCTCAGATTGTTGTAGCAGCTCTTTTTGAATTTTATAAACAAGCCATAAAATTTTATCATCTATTATGATTGTGAATAAATAGGAACCAAACTTAGAGATTTCAAAGAATACCTTAGAGATAACGCCTCTTCAGAACCACGCATTGAAGAGATTAAACAGGATGTTATTCGGTTTTCCAAGAGTTTTCCTGCTATAGGGTTCGATGAAAGCAAAATGAAATATTTGTAATTATCTATTTTAAATTATATCGTTGTATTGTAATAGAATTACCCCGGTGGTAAAAGACCCATTGTGATACCGTTATATGACCGAAAATACGAAACCCCTAAAAATATAAAGTTTCTTTTATTGGTCAAAAATTTGCGTATTCCTATTCCATTAACTTCGGGGCGCAATTTAATCTAATCACCATTTGATTCATCTGACCAATCGAATATTGCTTATGTGTTCTTAACCGCCTTAAGTCTCAAAAAGAAAACTTCCTGGACGATCACCAAAATAGGTTTCTTATTTACGGTCATGTGGGAGGCATCCATAAAATTGGAGGTACATTAGGGGACTCCACCTGAGATATTTTATAATATTATAATTTATTAAGACCTGAGATTTTGACAGACCCCCCTTTCAATATGAGGTAATATGTGTCAGCGCCCTTATCAATCATTTAAAATTCTTATTTGTTCATTTTAACGTTATCAATCATTTAAATTCTTATTTGTTCATTTAACGTTATCAATCATTTAAAATTCTTATTTGTTCATTTAACGTAAATTGTGGATTGCCCCTATATACGGAAAAAGTACTCCCTCCCACCTGATTTTTTTGATTGGGTTATCTAGACCCCCATAGAAATCACTTGATTTTTGCCCCTACCATAAACAAATTTGTGATCATATAAATATTTATTTCGCAATGAACAAAGACACACAAGACACACCAAAAATAGCCAAACTTCGTTCATACCTCAATCTCAAAGCACGAATTACCGTGTCAGACGGTCGAGTGTTTAATGGGACATTCGTGTGTATAGATAAATATAAAAATATAATTTTGGCGAATACAGAAGAATTTCGTGGTGGTAACTTATTTTCTATCGTCAAATATAATTATTGATCATTTAATATTTATTATAATTGAAAATTATTTTCACATAAATAGTTGAAAAAAGATATGTAGGTCTTGTCATGGTGCCTGGTAAACATTTGATAAAAGCGGAAATTGAAGATCTTGAAGTTCCCAAGAATAATATTAGCGATTCTGAAAAGGATCAAAGAATATCGTAACAATATGTTTGCTTCTTTTCCGTGAATCCAAAATTATATATTTATTTATTCAGAGAATAAATCAAAATCCCTTTTAATATTTCTATATAGAAATGTGTGTGTGTGTGTCTTAGAAAAAAGATCGATTTCTATTCAAATGTACTAGGAATAAATGCAAACAATACATGAGAGGATTAATAGGATTTTTGTCAGTTATTAGCGAAGAACAAGAAACTGCTATCGATTTTGAAATAAAAAAATTGGTTTTTTTTAAATTCATTTTGCAAGAATATAAAAAATGATAATAACTCACCCGCTGTAGTTGATTTTCATCTTTACGCTATTAAAATGACATGTTAATGCTATTGGAATCTTCTTTTTTCTGTTCGACAGAAATCATGTCCTTTTTATACTATGATAGTTTTGTACCTGATTTTTATTTTAAAAATATTACCATCACATTCAAGATATAAATAGACGCGAATTTTTATATCGCAAAAGGTTACCTTCAAGACGAACATTTCTCGTTGCAGAAGGAATAGTGACAGTTATCCCATCCAATTCTGGTTTCATAACGATCTGACATCCCAATCGCGATCTAATACAAAAGATAGATATGTATACATATTATTCAACCTAAAATCAAATACCATTCGAAGAAAATTATTATCACTCACGTTTCAGTCAATCCAAATGCAAGATCCAACATATCATTTTCTTCATCTGTCGGTTCATCCAATTTCTCATAATACTTTGGATCTACGATTACATGACACGTCGAACACGCCAGTGATCCCTCACATGCGCCTATTTATTCAATTTCTTTTTTTAATCAGTAAAACACGAGATGATGAAGGTGACTTTTGAGTTCAAAAAGACAAACGGAGAATGGGGGTTCATCATTACTACTATACTAAAAATATAATTATGCTACAAACATTCAAGATCTATGTCGTGTGCCATCGTAATGTCCATTATACTATCACCTTCGTTGGCCTGTATTGTGTGTTTGTCACCTTCACGGGTGATTATATTGATCTTGACACTGGATAACATCGAATTTATTAATATTATTTTTCCTAGCTACCACCGATCAGCACCAAAGATAATGCTGATAGTATTATTTAACTTACCCCTCACCTTCTTTTGGCGGCGCGATTTCTTTATGTTTATTTACTAATAAAAACAGGTTAATCGTTGAAGTTAAATGATATCACGTTAAAATATCTCCGTTCCGCAAATTCGAGGGTTAAAAAAGTACCTGCAGTACAAGAGAAGAATCGTTTCTGAATATTTCTTCGTGGGGAAACAAAAATTTTAGCTGGGATTTTACAAGATATTGATTTTGAATTAAGAAGGTTTCTATAAATAATTGGCGTGAATTTTTGTGAATTTCTCTCTGCATAAGTTATGAGTTGTTTAAATGAAAACATTGGGAAATTAGTCAAGTGTTGAATGAACTGGGCAAAAATATCAAAAAGCGTTCGCTAGCGTGGCAAGTAGATTTAGAAAGATAAATTTACTACGAACTAAATTAGGAAGAAGCAGAAAGATTAATAGAAAGAAAAAAATTAGAAAAATTGATTTAAAAGCAGCAATGACTTGCGGAGAAGTAGGAAAATTAAAAGGAAATGCCAAATTAAAAAAATTTCAAAGATTATCAAACATCCATAAATATTTACGTTATGCGTGCATGCATACAGAATTAACATCTTATTCTGTGTTTGTTACACTTTAAAGTAGAACTCGTAATGGAAATCTTTGACCAACGTACTGTCATTTTACTCGATTGTCACCCTGATACGCGTACTGTAGTCTTGAGTGGGCCTGAAGATAGTGGTTGGTCATATTTTATGCCCGTCAATTCTTTCGTTTAAGGATCTTCGAATAAAAAATTTCATGCATGCTATTCCCGTTGTAATTTTACTGGTCAATTGAGTAGATAAAGCCAATTGTTCGATATGGAGCTGTTTCGTGGAAGCTACGCTAGAATATTGTCGAATTATATTTGATCTATCTGAGGTCAGCGCAAGTCAAACATTGGTATCTGTACATGTCGCTGGCTTACCAGAAGGACGAAACGTGCTTAACAAATGGGATGAACAGAATTTGAACCAGGTTTGATTTTTTGTTGTTGGTTTGATTGCGTCAGACATACATTCATGCAGTATCAATATTTCATTAAGATGTATTAATTAACTTTGTAGTATTTAATAATGACCATAGATAGCAAATAGTTTTTCATACATATCACCACAATCGGTTGCAGTGTCTCCGTTGCGGATGCCAATAGCCTTAGAAAATGCGTTGATATCTTTAGAAAAATCTAGTTCGAAAAATCTCAAAACTGTTCGATTTGTGCTCGTAATAATGGGGAAAGGGGGTAACGAAACAGGGTTCAAGTAAATAATGGTTTTTAATCACATCTGGATAAATCATATTAATTATGGAGATTCAAAATAGATAATTATAAATTTTAGTTATCATGAAACTCGCGAGCAAAAGATTCCAAAGGATCTTCGACAGATGATCCTAACTACAATCGAAAAATTAGAACGGGAACAATTAAAGTCATTTAACAGGTTTTTATTCGATTTATTTGATAATTTTATGATGAGGCTCCAATTATCAGCTGAAATCTCTATTAAGGTTATCATTTTTTTTATTTTTTTATATGACTTTTGTTTATTAGAATATCCGTTGATTGATTGGGTCCCTTTCAATTCTTTCGAGAATGTGAATTCATTATTAAAAAATCGAATTTATCTCCAGTATCATCGAGCACTGTCATTTTGATATTCTGCGAGCAATCCCTCCATATGGCAATATGATTGACGATATTCCCAGAACAATGGTATTTATTCATTTAATTCGTTTACATAAATAAAATTTTCTTTTTAATTAATCTGTTTTGTCTAAACTCAATAGTTAACCAATAAAATCTCAATATCCGTATATAACATATCAACAATGCGAGACTCGTTAACTCGTGGCATGATCCATCTAGCTCAAATTCATCGAAGACTAAATTGCTTATATTTATATGGGATTCCAATGAAAGTATGTGTTTGATAATATTGGTCTAATTCTTTTTGAATCAAGTTATGTTCACATCTTATTAAAGACCAATTTTCTTATTCTATAGAAAACTTCACAAAACATGAAATTGACATGCGAGGTCGAAATACTGTATCCCGCTGGCCATCATATAATATTTAGTGATAATAGACCCGAAGGGTTAAAAAAGAAACGTATTTTTGAACGAGGATATTTGATTGAACGCCAAACTAACGTTAAATGGTGTAAGAGAAAGGGATATGAATTAGGTATATTATTTGTTTATTTTTTAGGTTATTTCCTGCCTCTATATTTTCTATTGACCCCTCCGTCTCATGAAAACACAACAGATTCACTAGTCACGAGATGCATGCATCCTATCACCACCCTTGATGTGAGTTCCAGGTTTTGATTTTGTTTTCAAATTTGTGGCACTTCTTTTATTTATTATTATTGGCTAATGTAAAGTTTATGTACCCATCAGTCCAGCCATTCACCATCCTCTGTATTAATTCAAAGCCTGCTAAGTGGTAAATCATTATTTCGCTTAAGATATTCCTCTTTACAACTTAATTTGAAATCATACAAATATATAAATATATAGGATCGATAAAACTATTTACGACGTATTCAACTCAATCCGGCTACGATCCTACGGTTGCTGAAGAATATTTGTTTCCTTTAACGCACATGTTATCGTGTCTTGATGGTATTTATCACTCATCGTGTCTTCATCAATTTTTTATCAAAAAGTCTTTTTTTATTAATAATAGATTTTCTTTTTATCCCTCTTTTTACAAAAGGAACGTTATACCTTCATTGTCTGTCACATTCCGACGAGGGAAATACTTTAAAAAACGACCTGTTAAATAAAACACTTCCGCGAGAACTTCAATCGATCGTTGTGACTCAAAAAGATTATCCAGAGTCGGTACTTAAGGTTCGTACTTAAAAAAACGTATACACGCTACATTATGGTTCTTTTAAGCGCGATATTTATTTTAATTTCTTTGGTTTGTAATAGGAATTTGATCAAGTATTTATCCATCCCAATATTTTGAATTTCGGGTATAATGAGTCTCTTCTAGCTCAAAATACCGGTACTTTTCCTGCGTCCGGTACCGGTAATAATCAATTCGAGAAGATCGAAATGGTATCGACATTATCATTACCCTCATCGCTAAAAAACGTGCAAAGTTCATACGCGTGGAATTGGGAATCAAGATGGTGGAAAAGTTTATTAACGAAAAGCGGAGATAATGGAATGTTGATATTGAACATACTGTTAAAAGATTCGTCGCCGTCGTCATCGTTGTCGAATGTGAAATCAAAAAGGTCTGCTGTGGTGAGTAACTCTTTCGTTATGTTCATCGTCTACTAAATTCTTTGCATGATTGATTAATTATTATTTGATTTACGAAAATAATAAATATAATAGAAAGAGGAAACCGATATTTTGAGAAATTTGAAAGGCCTGAAAAATTTGATTTGTACACCTGATCCAGTTGATAATTTTGCCGAGATCCTGAATAAAGTAAATTTGGATCTTTATAATTGTTCTAAATTATGTTGGAATCAAGCAAGTGGACGGATCCTTTTAATTGTTTCGAGCGTTAATAATATTTCAATTACTCACCACAGATTTTGGAAAATCTTTTTGCGACAACGAAGAAAGGAGTAGGAGTAGGCGAATTTCAAAAGTAAGTATTTTTCACCTTTTTACTTAAAAAAAAAAATAATCATTTATTGACTCCACTATTTTTACAGCCAAAAACTGGCTAACACTCTATTGATGCAAGTACGGACTATCGCTAATACATTCAAATCTGCTTCGACCAAGCATCAAGAGGTTTGTTATTCTCTAATGATTAGTGTATTTTTAGTTGCTATTGAATGTTAATCACGAAATTATTTGCTTCGAACCAGATTAGCAAAATTATACATTCTCGTGTAAAAGCTGATGGCACCGAAAACAAACAACAGCAGCAAACACAGATCCAAATTCCTCAAACCCCAACCACACCAACCACACCACTTTCATCAAGTTTTGGATCTCGATTAGCAACTGGAGCATCTAATTTAGAATCCGAAGTTTCGCTAAGCTGGCAACAAGTTGATCAGTACAAAAATATGACTGTACGAGAACACCAAGATTTCATGGACGTTTCTTCGTCATCATCCTCAAGTCAAAGTTACGCAAGTGCAAGTCAACAACAACAATCGTCCACTGCTACTACTAGTAATAGTAGTGGACGATTCAATAAATCCGGCTATCACCCCGATTACTTTTTCCACAAGCCGCGAGGAGGGAATGCTCAAGCAACTAGTGGCGGTGGTGTAGGTAATCGACGCGGTTATCAAGGAAAAACCGGTGGGATTTATACGCCCAACGAAGAACTACAACAATCATCATCTTCAACCTCCCGAATCATTCCCACACCGTATCTTGCTTACGATCAAGTAACGCAAAGAGATGTTGTGTTAGAACGGGAAAAATATAAAAATCGGTTGGGCGATGAAAATTGCTTGTTTCATCAGTATTGGACATATAAAAAATATAAAGATGATCATGATGATGGTAACGATCAAGAAGCTTCTAGACGTCGGCTTTTCGCTGCTCGGATACCAGAAAATTCTTTGTGAATCAGTGAACTAATAATTTCGGTTTTCTCATCCTCCTCCTTTCAGCTCGGAAAAATGATTAATTTTAATTATTATCATTATTATATCGTCATATTCATTAATAGACAAGTTATTGTATATTTCGCTGATCAAAATTAACAAATAAATAAGCAAACGGAAAAATCGTTATATCGTGATTTTACTGCGCCATCTGAGAAACTAGACTACACCAACACACCACCTTAGTCACACGAAAAATACGCAACACACACTTAAAGTTTCTTTTGCTTCATTTCCAAAGGTAGAATTAATCTTCACAGAAAAAAAGAAAAACCAAAGTAGATAGATAAGCGTTCAGCATCATTTTATTTGCAAAAAAAAAAGTAATGTCTGTAATGTCTGCTGATAAACCAGAAATTTATTAGATACATACATACATACAAATCCCAAAAAGGTTGAAGAAAACACACACACATATATATATATATATTTTTACCGACCATAGAGAAGGATTCGCGTGCTTAATAATTTAATTAATTTTATGCAATTTTATTTTTTTTTTTTGACTGACTAAAGACTGATAACATTATCGTTATTAATGTAGCTCCCACGAGTTTGGTAGTTGTGCTACTAAATATGCATGCAAGTATATGCATGCGTGTTATCTCTTTGTCGACTTCGTCGTAGAATCGCCGCTGCCAAAAAATTTTAAGTCTAAAACTATGCATAGCAAGCATCTTGTTTAAAACGTAATTGACACAATAAATTTGTCACTTTTGAAAAAAATGTACCCCAAGTAAGAAATTCAATAAACCCCAATTATGGTTAATAAGCGAGTAAGGGTAATACGGTGTCACCGCTCTGCATTCTTTAATTTCGGATCTTTTTATATTCGCCAATAACGACTCATTTTTTTCTGTTATTATTATTATTGTTATTTTGTATCCCACATACATAGGCGATATATACGTCAATCTAACCGGGAATACTTTTTAATCCCTCTTTCTCTTATTTATTTGACTTTATGGACACATACACATCCTTTTCATACGCTTATTCTATTTCACCCTTTGGGATTTTTTCTTAGACAAAAAAAGTTGAGCATGTATGTGCGTGTGTATGTATGTACACATCATCATTATATATAGTTGAGAATTAGACTTTATCTTCTTTTTCTTTCGTTGGTTACTTATCTCTTGACGTGCTTACCTTGATAGCTTGATGGTTATTTTCGTTATTCTTTTAGTTTATTCTTTCTTCTCTTTCTCCAATCAAAATGCAGGTTGATTCCACCAATGAATTGATTTAATCACGATCAGGTATGTTTAAGTTTTGGCCCGTGTTAAAAATTTTGTTTCTTTGTATATATCGATATGATTGATGTATTTATGTAAGTGCGTGCGTGTGCACAATTTCATAGAAAATTTCCGTGATAAAATTTCTGTCAACTTCACTCAGTTCAATTGACACATGTAATCAGTCAAACGAGTTCCTTGTTGCCGTGATTATTGATAATATCGTCGTGGTTTTTTTCTTGTTGTCGGTCTTGTTCATGATGTGTGTGATAGACGTTTGTCTGGTCTTTTCCATTTATTTTTAATAGTAACAATCATCATTAATGCAACCTGCGGAAATATTTTATTCATGGGTTTTTTTTTAGTTTTGTTATTGCTGCGCATAACATTCAACACCTTTTTTTCTCCTTTGGAAAAACCAAGTTTTTCTTTTTTTCTGCTCATTATTGATATCACTGTACTTTAAACGACACCAAGCAAGTATATGAAATATATATGGCTCTTTTATTGTTATTATAATAGGAATGTGTGTGTTGTGTGTGTATTTGTTTGTTTGTTAGTAAAAAATTAATTGAAAACATTGTTTTTTGGGGAAATAGATTCTTTCTTGTGTAATCGGTGAGAGGGCCCCGCCCGGACGAGGAGCCTATTCCCCGTTCTTTTTCGAAATAAGAATCTGCACTCAGTTAGATAAACTTCACTCATCCCATCACATCATCATCATCATCTTTGCCATACATACAAATTCCATCAATCAATCAGTCGATAAATTTAAGATTTCATACAAGTATGTATACATGTTTCCCTTGAACTCGAGTCTCTCGCCTCTCTCTCTCTCTCTCTCTCCTTTCTTTTATAGAAATTTAAAATTCGTGTGCTAATAATTACGTTCATTGATGTTCATTTTTCATTCTCCTTTGACTCCTTAATTTTTTATCGTTATAAATTGACACTGATTAACACACACACTTTAACTTGACATATTCCCAATAGCTCACACAACCACACACGCACGCACGTGTCACAATCACAAAATAAATAATAAAGGACGATAATTTTTCAACCTTATTTATCGATCTTTTCCAAATCCAAAAAAAATTCCAGATAAACCGACAGACGTCGGGACATATATAAATAGAAGATACATAAGATGAAACTATTCGCTTTTCAATTACCTTTTAATGCATGTGTGTGTGTGTGTGTGTGTGTGTGTGTGTGTTTGTGGGATGTGTGAGAGAAAGAAAAGGTGAGTAAAAGAAAATTTTTTGTTGGTTGATTTTCATATTTGAAATTTTCAGGTTTGTGAACACGACGAAGATAGAAATGATGATGTTCACGTTCTAGCATAGAAAGTGTGAATTATACGGCCGACATTCCTATCGCTGTACGTAAAATGCTGAAACTATGTTGGTAACTTTAATTGTTACACCCATGCAACGCAACACACATACACTCATATATATTATTTATTAAAAATAATAACATGTTTACTATTAATTACGGGTAACCACAGGGTGAACCAGAAGCAAGGCATACATACATGGTACATGTTGAGTAATAATTTAATCATAAAAGAGAGAGGAATGTGACGCTTTTTCCAACCCTTTTTCCTTTTTGATGTGTGGTCTGATTTACTTTGCTTACCAAAACAAACAAGGTTTTTTTCATGTTTACCACTAAAAGTGCACCTCGGGTATCTACCTATCTAACTAACTTTACCTACCTATACTACTTCCGCTTACCTTATCTTACTTACCTAGCCTTGCTGCTGCTGCTTCTCATGATATTTTGGATTTTTGGGCATCGATCGATTGATCATCTTTTTATAATGTGCAAGAACTTTGCTACAACGAGAACGGTACTTCTTTTGTGCAACCTTTCATTTTCTCATTATGCTACATTGAAAAAACCGTTGTGTGTACAACTTCATATCACCATCAAGACATCATCATCATCATCATCATCATCATCTCAATCTATTTATATATTACCAGTAGAAAATTTATACTGTATGCAACACAAATATACTGTATGTACAAATAATATAATCTAATCAGAAAAACTATAAAAATTACGTTCTGTCAAAAAAATTTCTACTTTTTTTCTTTTTCGCATAAATATATTCACTATAGTCCCCCAAAAATTATAGTCAACCAGAACCAGATATTCAAATATAATAATAAAATAATATACTTTAAAAAAATATACATACTATATAAAATATATATAATACCAGAAGCTACACATCGTCAAAATAAAAACCCATAGTAAGCTTTTTTCCGCTTTTTATACATATATACATATATACATATATATATACGTATATAGGGATAGGATATAGGATCTATATAAAATATATTTACGTACCTTTTTTTTTTACTTGTACTTTTCAACAACAGTATTTTACATCATATACTCTTTCTCCGTCCTCCTTTGTTTTCCTACCAGATATGTCGTCGGCTCTACAAAACCGAGCTGTTTTACCAACACAACTACCAACCTCTTCACAACCATTAACACAGTTATCGTTAGAGCAATTTAATAACTCTAGAAACATGTCAGAGTATACTGCCAGACAAATGCAAATGTATGCGGAAAATAGTAGACCTCAAGTCGGGAATGCTTTAACCCAAATTAGCCCTTCAAACCACAATTCACCCGCGAATAGCAATAATGTTGCTGCTTCGCCAGCTTTATCTTCTGTCTCACTAGCAAGTTATGATGCCGATTGTCTTGGGCAGCAGTCACAACAGCACCCTATCAAAGTTGACCAGCAACAGCTTGCCAACAACGGTAATAACACCAATAATCATCATCAATCAACACCGGCAAATGGTAATCCCAATGGCGGTAGTGGTCCACTTCCACATTTTGAATATGTTTCGTATGATAGAGTGCAGGTTCTTTATGAGCAGAAAAAGGGCACCTTATATTTCATCCCGGAAGGATTTGAACCCGTTCTAGTTCCAAATGATGCCCAAGCCCAGTCTGTGACAAATTTGTTACAGTCCTCGAAGCAAGTTTCTGCCCCGTTAAATGTATCTCGAATGCTCCCGGATACTGATGTACGTTTGCCGTCATTAGCTCTTCCGTGCGGTGTAGCTGGTCCACAAGCTAAACCGAATGCGAACAACGGAAAGTCAAAAGTAAAGAAACCACCGAGACCACCAAATGCCTTCATCCTTTATCGCCGTGCTAAACAACCTGGCATCGTGGCGAAAAATCAAGGGATCACAAATAATGAAGTGTCTAAAGAGATCGGCAGGATGTGGCATGAAGAACCAATCGAAGTGCGATTGAAGTTCCAGAAAATGGCCGAAGCCGCCAAACAGGAGCATATGAAGAAGTATCCCGAGTATCGATACCGTCCACGTCGGCCTCAAGATAGAAAACGAAGAATCCAGCCACGTGATTCTCCCGCAAGACGAGGATCATCTCCAGTTCTTTCATCGGAGAAATTACCAATGTTGGATAATTCGGCGTTCGTGTCCTCGTCATCATCGCCAAATCCACGACGTGTCTCATCGATATCTTCCAACGATTGCGACAACAGCTCAGAGCTTTATTTGTCAAGTCCTACAATGACACATAATGTTATTCCACAGCAACAACCAGTTCAACAGAATCATCTACAACAGCAACTCATGTATGCTAATAATAGTCCGGCTGTCAGATCCCCTCAAGAATCATTCGGACTACTAGATGGTGCCGCTCAATTCAATTACGCATATATGAATGGTTTGCCGAATGCATATGATTCCTCATCTGTTGCTGCTGCCACAATCAATTCGGTACCGATTGATTTCAGCGTGTTCGACGGAAATCAACAACAAACTTCTGATGAATGTTTTGAATATCCTGACTTTGAGGATTACCATGAGTACGATAACATGAACTGCCTCAATTACATGGAGGAGGAATATTATAGGCAAAATCCGCAATATATTAAATTCGATTATGAATAAGGTATTATAATTTATTAGTTGGATGCAGTTGATTGATTGCGTTATCGCTAAACAATAATAACTCATTAATTTTTTTTTATTTTTTAAATTATGATGATGATTATTGTAGATAAATCGAATTTCTGCATAACGATTCTGATGTTCATTAAATGTTTTCTTGCATTTCATTCTTTCGATCCGATTCGTTCTGTTCAACCAAAAAAAAATTTTTTTATCATACTATAAAAACAATTTTAATCTAACTATGCCACCACTACACATAAGAGAACCCTATAATTTAGTGACTTTGTTCATTTCCAACTTGCATTCTCCTTTATTCACAACTACAATAATTTAAATACTGCATTCATGAACATTTGATTTAAATTAATCCACCACCATCAAAAACACTTAAGAAACAATTTTCATCTTCTTCATCATCAACAATCATAATAACATGCATTTTTCATTTCAAACACTTATGGGAGAGTTCGTTTCGGAAAGGAACAAACTATCTAAAAAAAACAATAATAACAAAGTTACTTATCATTGTCGAAAATCAAAAAAAAATTTTGAAAATTTCAACAAAAAAAATTCTTCTCGAGCTTTTCTTGCAAACTTGCAAAGGCTCATTCGTATTTTATTATTCGTTTTTTTCGTACCAATTTTGGTATTTAATTTTTATCGCGAGATATTTGTTTTTACTTTGTTCTGTTCATGATCCAAGATGTTCTGTTTTTTTTTTTTATTTGTGCCAAAACATGAGCCGTGCTCTGTTTCTGGTTCCCCTTTTTTTACACTAACTATTTGTTCCTATTCTGTTCTATTATGAATAACAATCATAATCACAATTTTACTACGCTTCTAAAAATAATTTCCTTTAATATCGTCGTCGATTTACATTATCTTCAATATTAGTAATTATCAATTCCCCCTCTTCTGTTTGCTAATAATAAAGAAAATTTTTTCGTACATCTACATCTCTATGCTAAAATTCTACACATAGTATCATAATCATATCATAATCATATCATATTATATCATTATAATTAGGTCTTTGTGGTTTCGATAACATCCAGCATTTATTCTTATATATATAAATATATATTATATATATAGATTGTAAATTTCACATGCATATCTAATCTCTTCACATGCATTTATTTTTTTTGATTCGTGTCTTCTCTTCTTTTATATATATTTCTTGAAATTTCCCCATACCCCATTTTCCCTTTTCCCCTTTATCTTCAGAAGCGCATTCATGTACAGTTTTTTGCATTCTTATCAACTCGGTTCCATAACCGGCGTCAGACCTAATACATTTTTTAATAGTTTATCATAGTTTTTTCCTTCGCATAAAAAAAATGTGAAAAAATAACCAACAAAAAAAAATGATACCAAAATAATTAAATATATCACATTTTGAAATGTTTGTCGTTGTCGATCTCGATAATGGCAAGACAAAAAGAATAACAACAATTTTTTTTTCTTGTTAAATGGTCAAAATCCTATTTGAACTCGTGTGTTGTATGTATGTGTGTATGTGTATATTGTTCCTTGTTTATATGATCGTATCGTATCGTATCGTATCTTAGTTCTAACTTGATTCAGCCCAAATAGCTTAAATTCTTTATTGCGGGGAGAATGTGACCTATGTTTTTCTAGTTTAACTTGTCTTTCTTTTTTAGGCGAATTAGGATCAGGTGACGAGATACCACACTGCATGCAGAATATCTATCCATTTTGCAAAAACTATCATTTAGAGAAAAAAACACTTGAACTCGCAGAACTCGTATTATTTTTTTTTTTAAAAAATGTCAAATACTCCACAGAATATGCGACAACTTCGTGCATGCTTGATCTGTTGTATGGTCAAAGTAGGTATTACTTTTGGGGACGATTCGGAATTTCTGTTTGTTGGTTGATTGACTTGATCTTGTTCCAAACTAACACACAACATAAATACCAATAAAAATACTGAATCTTTAAAACCCATAAAAATTACCAACCACACACATCAATTGTTTCAAATGTAACGTAACCAAAGAACATGGATCAATTCCGACAACAAGGTTGCGATAATTGTGAAGATTTCTTGCGATTAAGGGGGGATCCCAATAGGATTTATGATTGCACAACTTCTAGTTTTGATGGGTAAGTGACCGAGTACATTGGCAATGTAATCGTTAGAATTGTTTTGATTGCTTGACCTTTTTTTGGGAGATATTAATCAAATACTATGAATCTTTTGTTATTTATTTAAGATTAATGGCGAATATGCGTCCTGAACAATCATGGGTCGCGAAATATAAGGGACTACGTGAGTAGTATCATTATTGTTTTTTGTTTTATATATATATATATATATATTTATATGCTAGAACTACTATTGTTGTTGTTATTATTGTTGTTGTTGTTGTTGCTGGTTTGATTACTATTTTTGTTTTAGATCAATACGTAAAAGGCGTTTACGCAATAAATGTCACTGGTCGCCTTCCAGATAGCATAGCGGATGAATTGGAGTCGCAGGGTATACGTATCATGTCGCGTGAATGAATGAACCGTAAAACTTTATACAATATACTGGATGTGCGGGGAAGTGGATATTAATCAAAGGATTCATTCATATCAGTGTCGGACTTTGATAACATAATTAGTAATAATAGAAACCAATGATAGAAAGAATGGCATAGCTAGCAAAGTTCTCTAATAGAATAATTTAATAGTTGTATTTGTACAGTCAGACTTCCATAAAAGAACTCTCCCATTTCCCGTAGAAACAATAGATATATCTCTATAAACAGAGTTTTATACCCTAGAATAGGACACCGCTATCATAATATTGGAACATAATCTGATTGTCTCAATTGTGCTCAGTTATGGAAGTTCGACTGTATAACAAATAAAGAAATAAAAAAAAGAATGAATAAAAAACCTATTGAAATCGCTACGCCTATACGCGAACATTCAAATTTTTGCATTAATTAAAAATGTCGGGAAGACGATTTTACATTTAATCTTTGTCCCCTCGCCCAATACCTTAACCTTATCCTGACGTAATGAAAATTCAGGATCTAAATTAGGAAATTTGAAATTTGGTTCAATAAAACTGATCCCGATCTCCGAAGTTACGGCCTTATCGGGGATGTAGTTTATTATTTTTGCCAGATTTTATTATTTTATTAAATGAAACGTGTGACATGATTTGTTCTTTTTTGGTTTAATAAAAGATAGTTAGTGATTAATTCACTAGAAATTTCGTTAAATAAGGCGTCGGCCTTTGAACTCCCAATAAGTATATCACGCAAATTTATATTTTTTCGTTGCGGATGAGCTTGAAATTCAGAATGAACTTTTTGAGGTCTATCTTTAATAGAGATTAAATTAGATACATCCGAACTTGCAGTCAAAGGTGTTAGCACATATAATAGAGTTTATTCTATCTTGATAAATCCACACACATGTATAATATATTCGTTTATTAAAAGTGATGATATTTATAATTGTCTTGCGACATCTAACCTTTAAAAATTGATATTTCACATAAACTGTGAATTCGAGTTTCTTGATATGTGTATGGCTCATAACTGATCATCTGCAAAAATTGATGTGAAATATAAAATATATAACGCAACGTGATAAATAAAGGTTACGATAATGTCTGAATTTCGGAATTTAATACAGAAATTCTCATTCCATCAAAACTCAAATCTATGTGATGATCAAGACAACATTGAAAACCAAGGCAAACAAACCAGTCGAAATATCGTCAATATGACTACAAGGGCATCTGCTGCCGCCACCACCACCACCACCACTTTATTAAAGAGATCAAGTTCTCGTAGCATAAAAATGTTACAATCACAGCAAAGTAAAAACAAACCAAATCCAACATTAAAATCATCATGGAAAGCGAAAAAGAATCGAAATAAGGATGATGATGAATTTATAAAATTGCTGCCTCCTCTATCTGATATTATTGCGTACAATTTGGATGGTATAAATCTTCTTAATTTGATTAAATAAAGATTAAAATCAAAATTGTGATCGATTGAATCTTTTTAATTTTTCTTCGTAGTTTTATTTTGTGGGATTAATCCGGGAGTAATTAGTGCAAAAACTGGTCACCATTTTGCCAACAAGGGCAATAGTTTTTATCCATGCCTGGTTCAAAGTGGTATGATTAAGTTTAATTTGATTCGATTTGATTAATATTGTTATCGATCGATCTTACGATTATCGATTTAGGACTAACGCATGGCAAAAAAGTGACTTGTGAGAATGACGCTGATTTTCCATCTAACTTTAATTACGGGATAACAAACTTGGTAAATCGCGTGACGCGTGGTTCAAATGTAAGTATTTTTGTTCTTAATTTATTTTTATCTTTCGCTAATGTTTGAATAACGGTTATCTTATAATAGGATTTGAATCAACAAGAGCTACGACAAGGAATTCCGATTCTATTAGAAAAAGTTAAAAAATATCATCCTAAAATCCTGTGCTTTATTGGAAAATGTGTCTTTGATATGTTCATGCAATACAATAATTTAGATCCGAATTTGAAAAAATATGGTTTACAGTCGATCAGAATTTTTTGGTCCGGAGATACGACAAATAATGATGATAAGACCGAAGAGTTTACGCGTGTTTTTTCTATAATGTCTACTAGTGGTCGAGTTGTTATAAAGCCTGAGGAGAGATTGGAATTGTTTAAGGAATTGAGACGAGTTTTAGATGAATTGAAAAATCAATAAATCTCGATATTATTTTCAACATCTACATCAACCAATCAGATAATACTAATGACCTCTGCGTCATCAATCTGTGTCCCGCTAAAAAAAACGTAGTTTTTTTATTTTTATTTTTCGTCGTTCTTTGTAGAGGGTATAAAGGGGTGAGTGATTACATGAGAGAGAGCAATCTTATGTTTCTCTTTTTTGCAAATTTAGCTGCAAATATTACGAACTTTTCATTTAGTCTGTCGTTCGTTTTATTGAGCAAATTAAGCGGAATATGAATTTTCTGTGCTTGCTTGCTTAGATGCGTTATTACGAGTTAGAACTCTTTGTCTATTTAAAATGTGCAATTATAAGCCTGAACGAGAAATGTCATCACAAATTTATATTAATATCAAAAATCAAATTTATCGTAAAAAAATTTGGCAATGTTAATATTTAGATTATCAAACAACCGTAACGTCAAGTAACAACTTGTATAACCATATAGTAATAATAAAAGTAACATATAATAAATAGATCATGAAGCATAACAACATCCTTCCGAATGCCCATTTTCATAAGGACTGGCAACTGCGTGTAAAGACATGGTTTGATCAGCCAGGACGAAAGAAACGTAGAAGACTAAATCGTATCCGTAAGGCTACTCGAATTGCGCCACGACCTGTGGAACTTTTGAGACCAGCGGTTCGGTGTCCTACTATAAAGTATAACACAAAATTACGAGCAGGACGTGGATTCACTCTTGATGAGCTCAAGGTAACAAATTAATGATTTTTATAGAATGATTGATTCTTTCTTTTATTTATTTGATCTTTATTCATAGGAAGCAGGTATCCGTCGTAAGGAAGCACTTAGCATCGGAATTCCAGTCGATCATCGTCGCAAAAACCGATCTCTCGAGTCTCTTCAACTTAACGTGGCACGTTTGAAGACATACAAGAGCAAATTGATCATATTCCCAAGAAAATCAAGCAAGCCAAAGAAGGGTGATTCTAACGTAATGACAATATTAATCTTTCATATTTAAATTATATATTTTTGATTTTTATTATAATTAACCAATGCACAATAAAATTTCAGCCTGATGAACTCAAAGACGCCACTCAACTCAAAGGATTCGTCTTGCCAATTCAACAAACCTGGACTCCAGAACCACCACGTGCAATCACTGAAGAAGAAAGAACCTTTAACGCGTATGCTACTCTTCGTAAAGCAAGCTCTGATGCTCGTTTGGTTGGCGTACGCGAGGCACGCGCTAAAGCAAAAGCAGAAGAAGAAGCGAACAAGAAGAAATAATTTATATAATAATTTTATAATGTTATATGTGTTATTGTTATTTGTAAAAATAGGAGATTTGTCTTGAAAAATCCTCGATACTATGATTGTTTATTAAATTGATTTACCTTTGTTGTTTAAAAGATAACTACATAAAAATCTAGTCTACGCGAAAGCACATATAATTAATATACGCGTCCCGTAACAATGTAATATTTAATGCTTTATGATTGGCCCAGTTTCAATAATTCGTTTTAGTATTTTGCACTTTTTTTATAATGGAGCGCCTTGACGAAGAGAGCGCCGACTTAGAGTTCCTTGAGGAAAATCTAAAGAAAACTAATGTGTTGACTGAAAAAATGGTTCATACATGTTCTCTTTTACTAGTAAATTACATATCGCGTATTAGAATATACATCCAGATTAACTTGTCCCTCTCGTTAACTGTGTTGTGATTCTCATTTGAAAACTTCTTAAAGACCAGCATGCTTAATGTGTTTGATGACCGACTGGTTAGATTAGAAGCTTCGATTCTGCCAATTCATAAAGCAACACAAACTTTAACGAGGCTAGCCGATAGTAAGCATTTCAGAGGGGTTTAGTGAAGGAGAAAAAAATATGTTATATACTGGATTCGGGATTTGATTATTGATGGAGACGAAGGTTTTTATAACTAAACCAGATCGTTGTTCTTTATCTTCTTTTGGCTCCATGTAAATAGATATAGATCGAACGCGTAATACGGTGTATGAGATCATTGGGTATTTCGATTTGGTGGAGAAAGAGAAAATGACTATACAGAGCGGGTTAGTATTTACCGTGGAGTGTTGAGCATTTTTCGTGGGATTGAAGGTATCAGTATTCGATCAGATCTTTTCTGAATGAGTAACATCAATCTTCGATTTTATAAAGGCCAAAAGAAAATGATTTGGAACCGTACTTAAATTCTATTGGCAAGTGCAAAAAAGCTATGGAAGTTTTGAGCGAATCAAGATTAAAGAGCACCGAGAGAGTTATGGCCCAATTGGTAAAGTAAAGAAAAAAAATATATTCACACTAGCATCCATATTGACAAAAGATTATGCGTGAATTCTAGAAACAATTATTAAAAGCGGCGATGCTGCAATTAGAAGAATTATTTCGTAAATGGCTTGTAAAGTGGAGTGTCCCGATAGAACCGCTGGCTTATACAACAAAAAGTGCTTTTTCACCTTCATTAGTTTGAATTGATAAAAAAGATAATTTTATATATTAACCACTTTTGAAAATTTGTAGAATTAAATATACCCGGAATACCACAGGCTCCACTACAAAATCTCCAAATATTAGCTTCGTATTTGGCAACATCAGACGCGGAACTAGGCTACACGAGTGATTTTGTCAAAGTATACATTGAGGTGCGATCTGCGTACCTGCTAAAATCCCTTACCATGTTATCGCAAGCTTCTATATCAACAGCTGAAAAGAGGAATAAGCCTGTTTATGAAAAAGGCACATGCGGGTTTATTTCTTATGTGGATGCTATGTTGAGGATGTTTGAGGTATTTTTAAGTTTACTTAAAATATTTTTTTTTGATTTTATGCTAAAAATATTGATGAATGGATGAATTACTAGACAGAATATTATGAAGTAGTAACGAAAATTCTACCAAAAGATTATGTCACGGAGGCATTTAGAGGTGCCATACAGAGTCCACTTGACACTTTCGTGGAGACTGGAAGACAATTAAATACTCGAATCAAAAGAAACATGCAAACTGATGTATTCTTGGCTTTTGATATGCTTGAGGCATTAAATACGAACGCTGAAGCAATTGAAGATATTTTCCGGGTGATTGTTAATTTTTCTTTTTAAACATATACAATACTTCATTAATTTGTTTTGGCTGATAATTATCGTGATTTATATGTTTAAAGTTCGCTGGGAATAAAGACGCTGGATATGGAGAGCTTATACATTCTTTACGTGGTGCCGCGTTAAGATCTTTTCCAGAATTCATTGAAGACATTAAAGTATATATTACACATATACATGCATCGTCGTTCATTTAATGGGTATTATTTTTTAAAGGAATTATTGAATTGCATTATATAGATTCATTCCTCCAAAAGTACAGCACTGCCAAACGATGGTACTGTGCACGAATTAACGATCACTGTATGATGATTTAAAAGAGCTATTATGATCGTCTGTTTATAAGGAGGTGAATATATATGTATATTAATTATAATTCATTTATACAAAAGACTTTACAACATATGAAGCGAATGACCGATTACCAAGATGCGGTCGAAACAATGCTTCAGACATTAGGCGATGGCAATTGGAATTCATTCGAGAAAGAACCAAACTTTTCTCGAGATCGTGCTGGCCGAGGGGCGTTAATGGGAAATGCTATTGTGCGACATTATTTTGGTATTTTGAGAATTCTATTTTTCAGTTTTAATTTTCTCGTGAATAACGCATTTCAAAAAATCTCATGAGTTATTTTACTTTGGTTATCAAACTAAAAAAAAAAGCTGACTGCTTGGAAACACTATCAAACAGTCTTGACAGTAAAGCCAGGACATACAAAAAAGCCGCATTAACATGCATATTCCTGCTCAATAACTATCATTATATCTTGAAAACGATCAAAGCGCAATTTGTGTTGTTGGTTGATAAGGAGGTTGAGAGTAAATATGAGAAATTGGTAAAGAAGTATAATGATGCTTATCAAGACACGTACGTTATTAAATTCGATTCTTTCCTGTTGCCTTTTTTGAGATTTTTCTTAATTCATTTTTTTTTTAAAATTAAGATGGAAGCCCTGTATCAATCATCTTATGGATTATACTTACGTGCGTGGAGGGACATTGAAGACTACGTTGGGTAGTAATGATAAACAGTCCGTGAAAGAAAGATTTAAGGTAATAATAATTAGCATTTAATAACAAAAATGTCAAAAAGAACTTTTGCTGATACATCTGGCATGTGATGGTTAGAATTTCAATAATGAATTCGATGAGCTATACAAAGTACACAAAGGGTACGCTATACCGGACCTTGATTTGCGGAATCAAGTAATTAAAGATATCAAGGTTGTCTTGATTCCTATGTATAACCGATTCCTTGATAGGTACTTATTAAATCTTGTTTCCCGTTAATTCATCCAACTTGTTGATTAATAATGTTCTTGTTCTTTAAAGATATCAACAGTCGGAATTCTCGAAGAATCCAACAAAATATATCAGATATGATTCTTCACAACTTGAAGTAATGGTTGGTCGATTGTTTGATGGGTCATCATAATTTATCGATGTTTTTTTTGTTATTGCTGATCTTGAGTTTTTTTGTTTATTATTTAAGAAATTATTGGTAGAATAATTAGATTAATATCAATTATCATTAATTCATTAATAGAATTTAGAGAAAAATATTTGAGACCATTAATTAAATTTAGAATTTTGAAAACATCATTATTTATAAAATGTACTACCCATATAATCACACCCTCAGGACCTGGAAGGTCAAATTTCCAAATGCTTCATTAGATACAACTACACGTGTCATGAGAATCATTGTCAACGTTGGAAAAGTTTTACGATAATCGATATTTTAATTAGAGAATATAATGTTATACAGAATCTTTAATTACAAATAATTTCGAATTGCAAGGTTGCGTTTGCGCACAAAATGTAAAAACTAGAAAAGCTTTACAATAATCATAAATTACAAAAATATACAAAAGTGGACGAATGTATGATAATTTGTATGACGATGCAATAAACAGATAAATACGAATGCGCCATAAGATCAATGGTTTTTTCAATGATTCAGCTGATTAACTAATTTATTTTCCGGACCACTGAAAACTCGGATCCACCGGACTTCGTTCCTCGTTGACCAATTTTCCCACACACTCATATTTTCCTTCGAAATGCGCATGCCAGTCTCGGAGGCTTTCGAGTTCTTCACGCGTTAAATCTTCCAGTGTGTCAATTGGTTGGTCGACAGGCGTAAGCATTTCCATATCAAAAGAGTTTTTTGCTAGACCACGCGATGCATCACGACCTGCAAAGTTTCCGTATGGGCCGTCTAATATATGTATATATAATACTCCATATTATATTAAATACAACGAACAAATAATGATAAACAAAAAAGACCAGAAAACTAACCGGGTCCATAGAAATTACGTCCTTTTGTCACATCATAAACTTTACCACACACTCCCATATAAATCTTTGTCTGCAAAGTACTCCCATCGAACTCTCGTAACTGTTTCGGAGTGTATTCCCGAAACACGGTGACTTCCGGGTGTTTAGGAACTGGAAGGTGATGAGGTGTTGGTGTAAAATATGCGCGAACAACATACAATAGAAACGCGGAAAGGAACCAATTCAGTGGGTTGGTTAGCAATTGCGTTTGAAGAGTTTCCAAAACTGTCATTTTCTTTTAGTGTAGCTCGAGATATGCAACAAATAAAATCAAGAATTAGTAATTGCACAAGTTACTATATTGAGGGATGCGATGCCATGCCATGTAAAAATGGGAGAAAACTGATGCAATAAACCCATACTGGAATAATAATTAAAAATGTCGGGAACTAATAATCTTTTTTCTAACACCTAACTTTAACCTTAAAAATTCATTTAATCGGACGCGCTGAAGATTTGGAAAAGACAGATCACATGACTCCCAACGCTTTAACTTATCACTAATATAGTCAAGTTAGAATACGATCAATTCGTCAGGTGCTCGAAAAGTAATGCCATGATCTTAAATTTTTGATTAACGTTAATAGATGTTGGGCTGAATTTTATCGATATCACGTAACTGAATTTAATCTCTCGAGATTTCCCATAATGAAAATATTCAATTTACAACTTTTTTCAAGGCTTGGAAATGTCTATGCTCAAATATTTGTTAGAGATGTTATGAAGAAAAATTACAAATTTTAAATTTTAAAAAGTGGCATATCATCGTTTCGGCTTTTAATATATTTTTAGTTCATTCAGAATACATGTTAAAAAGCGTCTTATATACTTTTTCTTAACTAAAAAAATATGATTCAAGTGAATCTACATATTTAGCTTTGACATTGTCAATAAATTCAAAAGCATCGCCAATAGGTTCTACCACCACGACTAGTGTCTTAATAAAGACACTAAATCCATTGTAGTTCACTTGCAATTCGGGTTTTATCTCTTCTTCTATTTCTTTACTTTTTAATTTTTCCCCTCCAGTAGTATTCGAAGAGGAGGAAGGGAACACGTATCCTTTATCCTGATGCAAACATAATAATTGATTGGATAATCATTAATTTTATAGAATGATAAAATTATCTCCTTTACCTTGATCAAAACAGAATGCCGTACATCAGTTGGTCGGAAATAATAAGCACAGTGAAATTTCTCTGTATCACAAATTGACAGAATTCATATATTTTTGTGTGAAATCTCTTTTTGACTATGATCTCAAAAAAAGGAGAACTTGCCACCACGAAAAATATCTGCGCTAATTTGCTGTTCCTCCTGTTTGTCTTCTGATTCATTTGATTTTCTCTTCCTCATAGAATCGATTTTGGGCGGTAGAAATTTACTCAACTTCACTATTAGTTCCTTAGTTTAATTAAAAAGATCCATCATCGATGTGATAAATGTATTTTACGATTTTTTATTTGTTCTAGTATTATCATCATTATACCTGAAACATTCCATCATTAAACCAATTTGTATTTTCTGGCCGAAGATAAATGATTAGTGGCAGTATATGTTTTTCGGAGACACGAATATATCTTTGGGTATATGTCGTGTATCTGGTTGTGGTCTTCACTGAGGAAGATGAGCTGGACATTTTTTTTGATTTAATTCAAATGATTGGAGCGTTGGCTAACTTTTTTGTCTATCCCAATGCGAAGTGAATGCATGTATCTGCAGTATTTTTAAATTCATTTAAATTAGATTAAACTTAGATATTTTTATCGTTATTTTGATTTGATGTGCAATAAAAATGTAATCAATAACACGAAAACACGAAAAAATTAATGACAAAAAAACCACGAAATAGGCAGAAATAGACATTCTATTGTTTGTTTGTTTGTTTGTTTTAATTCACCCTGGCTTTTCCGTGTACTATATATTATTTTGTGCTATATTATTTTATTCATTATTATCGTCCTTCCTTATTTTTATATACTTTCGCTGTTTTTCACTCATTCTTCTTATTTCGACGACCTTTCCTTTTAAATGAGAGTCATAAATAGAATACACCTAGGATTCTATATCGATATCGATTTCTCTGATAAAAGTAGTGTGAATGGTGAAGCAAATAAGTAAACGCAAAAAATAATATTAATTAATTCAAAGATAGACATTCCTTTTTTTCTCTCCTCCCTTCCTCGCCCTCTCTCTCCCTCCCTCTCTATACTCCTCCCTGTGAATAAACTATCCACTAAAAACGACAAACGAATGCGATCATTTGGTCTTTGTATTTTCGTTTTAGTTATCTCGTTGCTGGTCGATAACACTTTTGGTAAGATAAAACATTCATATGAATATTCATTATATCCATCGCATTAACAAACATCAATCAATATCAAGGCTTTCAAAATTTAAATAGTTATAATAATAACTATTCTAATAAAAGGAATGCTCATGTTGATAATAAAACGTCTGGCCTGTCGAAACAACAACAATACCTCAAAGGCCAAATAAAACGGAACATTGGATCTAAATGTATTTTACTTTTAATAATTTGCGTAAATTTAAAGTTAGCAAATTAAGGTCATTATTCTATTCTACCAATTTATAGCAATAAAGCCGAATTCAAACATTAATCGCGGCAAAAACAACAAAGCATCGTTATTGGAATATAATGGCTCGACTGGATCGGGAGCCCCAAAATCCAATAATGATAAAAGCGATTCGGCGGCAGCACTTACTTCGCAAGGAAATTTTAATAATGATGTCATAATTATTAATTCCCCTTTTCCATCATCATCGTCACCACCACTTCCATCATCAACTAATTTACCACTTCCTTCAAAATTAAAACCATCAAAACACCAACAACAAAATTCGCGCCTTAACAAAATCGGTTCTCCCCTTCAGATTACTATTCGTAACCTCGCGTCACGCGACAACAGCCAAAGCAATGGAAATCCTCAAGGTAAAGGTAAATCTAACGGCAACCCCAACAATGGTAATGATCAAAATAACGGAAACAAAAATGGCCAACAGAACGATAATGGCAATGGAAAGAACAATGACTCAAATACTAATAGTGCTAGCTCTAGCGCTAGTAATAGTGTGAGCAGTTCTAGCAATAACGGGAACGGCTCTAGCAATGGAAGCGGCTCTAACAATAATGGGGGCGTCTCTAGCAATAATGGAAACGGCTCTAGCAATGGAAGCGGCTCTAACAATAATGGGGGCGTCTCTAGCAATAATGGAAGCGGCTCTAGCAATGGAAGCGGCTCTAGCAATAATGGGGGCGTCTCTAGTAATAATGGAAGCGGCTCTAATAATTCCGGTGGATCAAATAATGGTTCTAATAGTAATAGTAATAGTAATAGTAATAGTAATAGTAATAGTAATAGTAATAGTAATAGTAATAGTAACAGTAACAGTAATAGTAATAGTAATAGTAATAGTAACAACAGCAACAATGATAATAATAATAGCAATAATAATGCAGGTAGCTCTAGTGATAAAAGTAGTATTGACTCTAGCAAGAATAATAATACCCAGGCGAAAGCTTCCTATGATCAGACGTCAAGCGAAAACAATCCTTCATCATCAAATTCATCAAATTCATCAAATTCAGCAAACTCATCCAACTCATCCAACTCATCCAACTCGACAGCTATTTCACCTTCCAACCCCAAGAATACAACCGAACCTGAAAATGAAAACGGATATGCAGTTCCCCCCACACCGCCCCCAAACAAATCAAATGAACTAATAATCGGATTAGTAGTCGCAGGCATTCTCCTAATCGTGGTCATAATTTTGATAGCGGCCAGACGTCGCCTACGATGCAGCAATCCACATTACTATATTCCCGAAGGCTCGTGGTCTGATACCGACTCATCGGTGACCGGTGGAATTGGTAAAGTCCCGCGAATGCGTTCGCATACATTATTAGATGCATTCAAGAAGAGTGTTGTTAATATCTTTCCGTTGCCGCGTGACTCTGCCAACGTTACTGGGCAGAGTAAATTTATCGAAAAGATAGAAGGAGGCTCAGTAGAGGGAATTGTTGTTTAATAAAATTTATTTAATTGTATTATATTATTATATATGTTTGTTGTGAAATAGACTTGAAATAAATTATGCAGGTCATTGAATTGTCATTTTATTAATAAAGTCCGCAATATGTGATTCTCAATCTTTTTCGCGATAAACATCAGCATGTTGCAACAAAACCAAGCAATGTGAGCATGATACAAGAGAATTTGGAAAGTTGTCAGTAAATTGATCTTTTATTAGGATTCTTTAACTTAATACGTACAAAATACAAAAAAATCAAAACAAGCTTTAATCAGGGGAACGCTAAAGCAAGGTAGAACTATCAAATCACTAGAAATTTCGTTATAAAAAGACATGTTATATTTAGGATTAAATATAATGAATAAGTCTTTATATCAGTAGCAAATTAGGAGAATGATATTTAAGACAATTAAACCAGTTAAGCCATTTTTCTTATAAACGATATACTCTAATAAGAAAATAATCAGATAAAGCATGAATATATCTAAATTTTTGCGCTGAATGTTTGTCCGGCTGACACGGAGATAGAAGCACGGACTGTCCCATGTTTATCGGAATCTTCACAAAGTAAGCAAATTTTTATTTTTTTTACTGTTCTTTTATGAATTTCAATTATATATTAAACTCAACGGAAAGAAAGTCACCGGACACTTTACTAATTAAACAATAACTATATGTAACAGCTAATATTTGATATCTTTGTTGACCTACACTAATTTTTGGTTTCTTATAAATCTCTTACATTTCTTTTCAATTCTGCGTAAAATTTTAGAAAATATTTGTTGTATAAAGAAAAATCAGACTTCGAAAATTGTTCAAATTAGTTAGCGATCAATTGCCAACAAATTGATGAAAATTGATAATTACCCAGAAAAAATTTAATAGCCTGTATCTCGAAAATTTTAAATAAGAAACCACTTTCTATGTTCTTTGCGAAAAATTTATTGTTAGGTTACACACGAAACATATCCTCAACACACGATTCTAACCCTTATTTCATAATGATTTTGAAGCACTATTAAAATATCTCATATCTTGCGATTTGATTTAAATAAAAATACATTTGATTTGGTTATACCGATGCAGATCAATAAATCCAAAGTTCCGTGAAATTTTTCTGGCTACGCTTGGGGTAATCAAAATTGCCATCATAAAATTAATCGGTATGTCGGAACGCAATATTTCGGCATTCACATGCGATTTTTATCACCATTTGATTCATCGAGTCAAGGATGCCGAAATATCGCGTCCCGAAGTAACCGATCAATTTTTGGATGCAAAAATGGGCGATCTTCAAAAAATTAATTCGGAATTAAATCCCAATTCATTAAAATGTCCGGAAGGCAATTTTACAATTCAGAATCCTAATTAGGAAATTTTATAAAATCTGATCGATTTCTGGACATCAACAAATAAGAATTCGCAAATCATAAGTGAGTCAGCAACTATTAAAAGATTAGCGTTAGGGAAAGACTATTTGTAAAATCGTAGTTTTGATGTTTGTTTTCCATATTTCGCATTTTTTCATTTTCATTTTCAGGTGAAGTGTATGCGAGCGCAAATTCTACTTTCGGATGGGAAACAGGGTCGGAAAATAGAATGGATCGGAACTTGTCACACATCATTGCAAATTAAATTCGTTTTTTATGTTCATATTTCTTAATGTCTCTTAATATTAATAAGCCGAATAAAAACATTATTGCTAAGATTTTTTTGATATCAATGTATTTTGGATATTTTCAATTCTAGTACTAATACTATTACTGCAATTATCTACAATACCTTCTTGCATATCTATTATAACCGGTTCTCTTCTAGAAGATGTTATACTCAGTTCAATTTCAGAAAATTCATTACCAGAGCCGTCTTCTTTATTATCAATGTTCAAAGCATCGCAAAATATATTATTATGTCCTTTTAACTGTTTTTCTTTATCGTTACCGTTATCGTATTTATCGTCATCGTCATCGTTATCGTTATCGTTGTTATTGTCGTGGCAAAAATCAACAACCTGCCGAGTTTCTCCAACCGCAAGAACACTTTGTTTCTTATTCCACCAGTATAACGGATAACGTCGTTGACAATTATTTATCAACAACGCCACAATGAACATCAACACTATCCCAAGCAAAATTGGCACAATCATAAACCAGTAGCCAAGTTTGTAAATTCCTTGGCCGCCTGTGACTGCAATTAAGGCTGTTGCGCCGCCGGGCGGGTGTATGGTGTGGGTGAGTTGCATGAAAACCATTGAGATGGAGACAGCGAGTGCACATGTCAACCATCGTATTGAGTTGTCGTCTATTGGTTTGTGGGTTATTTGCGAGATTATTTTGTTTACTGAAACGCCGATGAATGCAGAAATTAAGTGGCCGCAAACTTTTTGAAGAATTTAGCATTATTTAATGGTTTACGATATTAAATACGAATATAGAATATTGAAATAAGAATCTTACTTAAATTTTTTGGCTGCGCTAACGGCGAATCAATTGCTCCATAAATTAAAATAGCAGTCGCGCCCTAAATAATAAATATTAAATGTATTTCAAGAATTAAAAAAAACATAATTTATATCATATAATATAACACACATACCATACTGCCAACCATCACCGTAACTTCGTGTTCCTCAAAAAACGCAATATTAAACGAAATCGCCGAAACCATAGCGATCCCAACAAACGATGCCACAAATGACCAAATAATTACGGACAATTTTGTAAGTTTCGGTGGGTGCTTTACCGATCTTTGGCCAAGAAATCGATCGAAATATGTTCGTGAATAAATTGTTATACGATTTTCTGTGTGACGCTGAATATCACTCGGATTATTAGAACTTGTATCATTGTTAGTACTTGTATCATTAGCATTGTTAGTACTTGTATCATTGTTAGTATCGTTGTTAGTATTAGTATTATTAGTAGCAACAGATGCCATTTTTACTAGTATGATAGACAAAAAATTGATGATTTATCTATAAATAACATATTTGCAAACGATCACGTGAAACGCGCTTTGGCGTGTTTTTTGTTTATACATCCTGCGTTAGGGTTATGGGGTTAACGCCAAGTAAAATTATGTAATATTTATTTTCAATTTCTTGTGTCGGTTTCGTTTCGTCGAAAATTTTCGGTTTCTTAATTTATTTATGAAAAATTAGCGTTAGGATAAATTCATTCGTTACACAAGGGATCTAGTATATTAATGAGGTATGTGATCACATGATCCGATAATTTTTTTCATTGCGGATATTTCCCTATGAACATTCTCGCAAGAACAGTTCGGGCCGCCACTTTTGCCTCAGGAAAACCTTTAGCTTCTGGTATGCATATTGTATAATCTTTGTTCTATTGTTAGTGCTCCTAGTCAGATATCTTGTCAATAATACATTTTTTCTTCTTAAGTTCGTTTTTATGCACAAGAAGCAACGGCCCCTAGTAATATTTTACGCTTGAATTTTGCCCTTCCACATCAGGTATTATAGATAACGTTAAGATAAAAGAATCATTAACAAACCTGATCAACCTTTAATTGACATAATTTCACCCACGATCTAGACGCTTTATCGAAATGTTGATGTTCAACAAGTGAATCTCAGTTCAACTTCGGGCGATATGGGTATTTTAGCTAATCATGTTCCATCTATAGAACAACTAAGACCCGGAGTAATTGAAATAATAGAGAATCCAAATACGACTCAAAAGTATTTTGGTTAGTTTGTTTACTTTAATTGAATGAATTCCAGGTAGATTTTAATTGTTATTTTGAATTGGAAATGTTTTCATAGTAAGCGGTGGTTTTGCTATTGTCCATCCTAATTCTTCGCTGGATATTAACGCGATAGAAGCATTTTCATTGGATGACTTTTCAATTGAGGTAATGAAGTTTTATAACATGGACTAATTTTTTTGTGATAGTTCGACTAAAACAAAAATACATGCATAAAAATAATGCAATAGAGCATCAAAACAAACCTTGCAGAAGCACAACGAATCGCTGCTTCATCCGCTTCTGAGGAAGAAAAAGCGGTAGCCTCGATTGAAGCGGAAGTATATGAGAACCTTCAAAAAGCATTGACTAAATCAGCATAGATAACGTTCATTATTTACTATGATGCAAACAGTCTAGACATCCAATATCTAATCAATATTTTAAATTGTCAAGGAATTTTATTTTAAAATATATAACTATCAAAAAAAATTACGTTATTAAATAGCCTGTGATATGTTCTATAACATTACGTATTTATTTTGTTCGCTATTTTATGAAAATTATTATACAAAATTTAATTTAGCATTGCATATAATAAATTTAACCTTGTTTGGAAATTATAATTCAATTTTTAAATCCTTCAAAAAATTCGGTAGCGGCGCAATATTTGATGCGACTAAGCCATTTGCACTATGATTGATATCAATGTTATGAGGGATTTATAGTACTTATGTTTACATGATCATTTATAAACAGAGTTAATTCAAAGTATGTAATTGATAATGTCATCATGCAGTCACGGATTAAATTGACTCATCTTCTCAATAATTTTCTCAAATCCAATTTGAGCACATTTACGTCCAGCCAATTCACACGCAAATCTTAAACATCCTTCTGGAGGCATCTCTTGCGTTAATCCATATATCACACCGGCGATAAATGTGTCCCCAGCACCAACAGAATCGACTACACTCGGTATTGGTAATGCGGAAGCGGTGAAAAGTTTTTGTGTTGGATTATGAAAACATGACGCACCAGAACTACCCCACGTGCAAAATAAGTATGCACTATGAAAATGAATGATTAAATTAATTTATTTTTACATAGCACAACAAATATAAAAATCAGTACCCACGTCTTTTTACAATATGGCCCCATAACTTGAAGAAAGTTACCGGCATGATCATAGCCTTTTCCTTCAGCAAAAATTTTCGAGAAGAAAACTACATCTGCCCGATACATTAAATCTTCAAGTCCCTCTCGATGCGGTTTCTCCAATTCCACGCTTATAATACATCGGTCCCGCCATGTTTTAGTGTCAATATAGTCCATCATTTTAGCTACTTCTTCCGTATTACGCCCCTCGAAATGTATCCAATTGAAAGGTATATCTTGATCCAAATCAGTCATAACCTCAGCACAGGCATCCTCAAATTTTCTTTTAAATTCTTCAAATGTCAGTTCATTGATACTAGAAAATTACAATGAAAGAAAAAAAGATAAAATTTAAAGTCTTCAAGGATTAGTCATCAAAATACGGGTTTTCACCTATTATAATTTATTATGGTTCTTGAACTGGTCTTTTCTGCATGAATTATATACGCTACCGGCGCGTGAGAGGCGTTAGAACGAAAAAGGGAAGTCGAAGTCTTGATGTTATGTGCCTCGAAATCTTGCACCAAAAAACTAAAATTCAATATATCAATTCAATTAAATTCTATCGACTTGTTACGATAAAAATGCTCACGTAGATGCTTCTTTTGACGCCATAGACGCCATTAAATAAGATTGACACAATGGAAACTGCGATAACACAGTCAGCGTATTTCCAGGATTCCCACCACGCCGCTTTTCCACTCGTTGCGCGCGTTGTTTTCCGTCTTCAGGCGGGAACTTGTCAACGTATAGAATAATGTCTTCATAGACAGAGCCTACTGCAAGAACACGTAAAGGTATAGACTGAGGGTGGTGACTTTGCGAAGGCATATTTGATTTTTTCTGAGACATTTAAAATTCACAAAGGACAGATATCAAAATTAACGGCGGCCAACAACGATGTAATCTAACCAAGGCTTATGCAAAGCAAAAAAACACAACTACTACTATTCATACGAATAGAAAGTCTGCTAGACCAGGGAAACTTGATTAGATATAAAAGAATTTATTCTCCATTGTCTAAAAATTTCTACTTGTAATCTATTTTTATACAGTCATATTTTATAAAAAATTTCTTTATATCACCTTTCTTGGAGGAAAAGTTAAATTGAATGAACCAAACATATATTCATATGAATATTGAGGTATCATGTGATTGCACAGAATTTTTTTTCGTTTGCACGTTGCCTAAATTGAAGGCTATATGACGAATTTTTCTCAATTGCTATAATTTTTATACAGTATCATAAGTATTGGTACAATATGGGAGTCCCAATTCTCGACCGTCTTAATTTTCGTGATTACCAAGCTTTATTCATTGGGTTTACTTTTTTAGCTTTTGAAACATTACTTCGTGTTATCACTTGGTGCTTACCGACGGTTGTATTAGAGCTATGTAAATCGAAAAGTCAACTGTGTGTTCTTTTTTGGTTTTTTTTACAGCATACATTTTTTTTATCGATTGATACCTTCGTTTCTTCTATAATAACGAATCGAATAAATTTATATCTTTCATTGCAAAATACATCCATTCCAATTTCATTCTTATGCACATTGTCCATTGTATTGGTAAAATAGTTTATTTTCTAAGTTATATAAAGATGAACGTACATCTCCAGCAATAATATTACAGCATGCGATTACATTTAAAGAAATGGCAGCCCACTGGTAATAAAAATAACATTATGATCTTTCGAAATTTATAAATTCGCTCGTAATTGGTTGGAGTTTATAACCTATATAATCATAATAGGGGATATACAACCGAAGATCACATTGTACTTACTCGCGATCAATATATTCTTGGAATTCATCGAATTCCTCATGGAAAATCCGAGATAAATTTAAATGATGATGATAATAACGCAAATAATATCCAGACCATATTACAGAATGGTCAGATCCCTATATCAGCCGTCCGTAATACTAGCTCGAATTTGGACCCGTTTCAGAGTACTAAACCCGTCGTATTGATGTATCATGGGTTCATGATGTGTAGTGATGTGTGGATGTGTAATTTGGAGGAAGAAAGACGACTCGCGTGTTTATTGGCTGATGCAGGGTAACATTAATTTTGCTTTTATATTCATATAGAGAAACATGTGGTGATAATCATTGTTACGATATAGTTATGATGTGTGGTTTGGTAATTGCCGTGGTAACAAATACTCGATGAAACACGCTCGTTATAAACCAAGCGGACGACGATTCTGGGAGTATTCGATGGATGAATGCGCACTTTATGATTTGCCGGATACTATTGATGTAAAATGATTGAATTTTGTTTTTGACAGCATATAGTTGTCATGATAGTGCGAAGTTCACTTTTGATGATAATTATTTATCATCAGTACATTCTAGAAACGACTGGGGCATCATCACTTTCGTACATTGGATTTTCACAAGGAACTGCACTACAGTTCGCCGCGCTGTCGGTGAGCCCTAAACTTAATAAAAAAGTTAATTTATTCATTGCATTGGCTCCTGCTACAAGTCCCAAAGGTATGTTAATTATTGTAAATTCATATATTCTCTATGTTTATTTTTAATAATTGATTTAATTCAAAAATAGGACTGCGAAATCCAATTGTCGATGCCTTCATCAAAGCATCACCAACCGTGATTTTTTTATTTTTTGGCAGAAAAGCATTTCTTACGATGACACTATTCTGGCAAAAAGTACTCTCACCACCAATTTTCACAAAGATCCTTGACACCTCAATGAATTTTCTGTTTGGATGGGAGGGTAAAAATATGACGGAGGCGCAAAAAGCAGTCTCATATAATCATCTTTATAGTTTGGCTAGTGTGAAGAGTTTAGTGGTATGTGTGTAATTTCTATATTAATACGGATTTTTATGTGTCTTTGGCTTAACGATTCAATATTCTATTATTTTAACAAAAAAAAAATCATAGCACTGGTTTCAAATAATGCGCGCAAGTAATTTCCAAATGTACGATGACCTCCCGCCCTATTCATCAAAAGGATCAATCACACACGGTTTTCCAACCAAACAAATTAAAACCCCAATCGCTGTGTTTTACGGTGGCAGTGACAGTTTGGTAGATATCGATATGTTGCTGAAGCAATTGCCTAAACCTGTTCTAGTCAAAAAAGTGGAAAAATATGAACATTTAGGTTTTTATACTTATTCTTTTAATTGCTAAGTTTTGATTGAGTATTTCTGTGGATAATCATTCTTATTTTAATTAAATTAGATTTCCTTTGGGCTTCAGAAGTCCACGAAGAAGTGTTTCCAGATATTTTTAAGCTTTTGCGAAATTATAATCCTCACAGCACTGAAGATTTTTAAATTTTTTCATTATTCCTTATTTTAATATCTCCACGAAATATTTTTTTGAAAAATTGTTCAATAAAGGATGAGTTTTATTTTTTATGTTTTTATAGGTTGCTATTATAGTTTCGTTGCTTTTCTTTTTCTAAAAAAGTTGATTGATGCAGTCTGTTTCGTGGATTCAGATCAAAGGTTTCGATAATTATCAGATTAAGAATGAGTACAAATTCACATACTGTGTTTTATTTTATTTTATTTTATCACTATCGCTATTAAATGTAAAATTACAATATGGATAACTAATTATTTAGATATATCGATATTAAGATTATATACATGAATATTAAAGTTAAAATCTCCACTAAAAGCCAGTAATAACTTCCTGACACCAAGGGCTGGTCTCGATCTGAATACTATACTTCTCCGAGATTCCTCGTAATTTCTCTAGCATAGTGTCGTATTTCGTAGAATGACTATTGGTGATATCATCGATGTCTACGGAATCGGCGACTTCACGAAGGAAATTTGAGATTACTGCGTTTCCGTGCTAAAAACAAAAGCAATAAGATTATTATTGTAAAATCAAGAGGTAATATATATTTGATATATTTGTAATATTTTTATTCAAATATAAATAATTATTATTACCTCAATTTCTGTATGTGTGGATTTAGTTTTTGATGTTAATGGTTGTGATGGAACATTTTTGTTATCAATCTCCATACAGTTCTGGTCTATTTAATCAAATAATATATGATTATTATATGTAACATAAGAGAAAGTTTTTTTTTTCAGAAAGCTTACTCGTCGAAAAGTCTTCCAATTCATTTGCTTTCCATCTAGCCAACTATATTTTTTGTATCAACATAATTAATGATAAACAAATTAATAAACTAGATAATTAAAAAAACCAGCTTTGTTGATCCTCACCTTCACAACTGTTTCGGGAAAATTCGCCAGTTCTGCAACATGAATACCAAAACTCTCATCACACACACCTAAAAGTTTAACGGATTAATACATAAAAGAACCAACTTGCTAGTTTGAATAAATTTTTCATTAATGAGTGATACCTTCATTGACACGATACAACAGTGTGATATCACGTCCTCCTTCGGAATTTGTGCCAATTTCCGCTGTTACATGGAGGTTACGCACGTATGATATTTCATCGGCGAGGGCTGTCAACTCATGAAAATGTGTAGCGAATAGACTGAAACATCGGATTTGCTTTGCAATATATCTACGGTAGAAAATAAATAATAGCAAAATGTAAATAACTTTATAGTCTTATATCACAATACGCAAGATATTATTTATTCGAATAGTGATTCTCAACTCAGAAATTGACCAAGCTAAGCCGAAGCCATCATATGTACTGGTTCCACGACCAAGTTCGTCAATTATGATTAAGGAATACGCGGTCGCTGTCTAGAGAAACAAATTGTTGTTAAGCTAATCCTTGGTCGAAACCAAAAATATATATCCTGTAAAAACCTTTAAAATAGTCGCAGTTTCTAGCATTTCTGCCATGAACGTAGAAATTCCTTTAAGCTGACTATCACCCGCACCGACTCTCGCAAGAATGCAGTCGAAAATACAGAGCGTTGCATCAGAACAGGGTACAAAACAACCGGCTTGTGCCATTAATGCGATTACACCAATCTAAAGGATCAGATTCCCATTAAAAGTCAATAAACGGAAAAGAGAAAAATGATTCGTATTTGTCAAGTGAAACAAAAACTAGATTATTTGTTATTGTGATTACTTGGCGAATATAAGTTGATTTGCCACCCATGTTTGGACCAGTGATTATCAGAAATTCACTTTTATCTGTGCATTTGAAAAAAATTAGTGTTAACATGATTTTTAATAAATTGATAGTTCATTTTGCAGTTCAATTACTTTGAATTAATTCTACGTCGTTTGGAATAAAGGAGACATCGGTTTGAACCTCTAGACATGGATGTCTAGCACCTTTTAATAGCACGTGTCCGCTACCTACAGCCACAAGGAGTAATTTTTAATATGTAAATTTAAAAATACGCAAAATAATGTTTATTACCTTTTTCGCTTATCTTTGGACGAACGTAGGGTGTCGGTGCATTAATTGATACATGTGCAAAGCTTTCGAAAAATAAATTATTTTCAAGTTTAACAAACGCTTACTAAAAGAAAAGAAAAAAAATTATAAACACACCTAAGCAACACATCAAGATGCGCCAATAATCCATTAAGTGTCTCCAAAACCGGACAATATGTAGCTATTTTCAAAATAACGTTATATGATTGCAAATGCTATTAGAAGGATCATGATAAAGGAATTAAATTAACCTGCAATCGCAATAACCTCTTTAACCAAACTACTCTGTTTTTTCTCATATTCATCGGAAAACTCTGAAAAATTCTGACTTAATTCTTTTAATTTGGTCGTTGTGAAGAAAACACCAGTTCGTTGAGTCGCAAGTTCAATATATCTACTGTTGCCTCGTATACACCCAGCATCCTGATTATTTACCATACATTAATTAAAAATATTGATATTTGGCGAAAAAGATCGCACGGCATCGATGACGCAGTAAAAAATTATATATTTACATTACGTGTTAATCTAAAACAGTACCCGTGTACTGTAGATTTTTCAAAGTGTAATTTCCTTGCAGTGTCTAAATTGAGTCTGTCACCAATCTATTTACAGAATTATAGTTGAAGACACGTTAAAATTGAAGCAATATAAATTCAATATCCAATCATATTAATTAATAATAAACCTTGCGATGTTCCTCATTCATTTCATTCATGGTTTCATTCATTTTATCACGAATTTCTATTATCAAAAAACAATATATTTAACGTTTAATAATTTACCAAATAACAATCGAGCAAACTATTATTCAAGCACCTTGAAGTTCGCTGTCAAATTCTGGTTTAATAATATAATGATGATTTTCTACGGCTTCTAAATCGATGGTGGTTTCTACCATTTCTTTCAGTTTATCTAATTGCTCCATGAATTCCTAATCATGATTTTTCGATTAAGAAGAATGACATTTGTATGTACTCAAATAATTTTTCATTTCATAATTTACCTTAAATTTCACTATATATATCAATTCTAAAAGTTCTCTATGTTCATCGTTCATCGAACAGTTGTTTTCCAACACGCTTATCAGAACTGGCAACTTTGTGATCACTTGATATACTCTGACAACATCCTAGGAAAGAGGTATTTCTATTAGTATTTTTATATAACGAAATTACGATACTTTGAATATATACCTGTAGTGAGGCAACACCTCTTTGAAATCGCTTTGCCAGTCGATGTAGATCAGGCATACTTTTGATCGCTTCTTCCTATATTTTAATGCAAGAATCAACAAATCAATAATTGAAAAATAGTGGATAAACATTCAATCAGAACAACGCAAATATTGACTTACCCTTAACAAGTGCCGTAATTCCATATCCTCAACAAAAATTTCAACCAATGTTTGTCTTTGCTCTGTTAATAAGATAATAATAGAACAAAAAATTATAAGTTCAAATGAAGCAAATCTTGTATATTTTAAGTGAATAATAAAAAATACCGACCTATTTCTTTGATATCCATTAACGGCTGTTTAAGCCATTGACACATTAATCGCGCACCTTGGGCAGTCTTACACTTATTCAATAGGCCAAACAAGCTCATTGTCTTGTTCGATCCTGTGAGCAAATATTTGTTATTTATGAAAAAATCCAGGGAAGCTAACAAAAATACTAAATCTTATACCATCTTGCGGACTCGGCATCAGATTCAATGCTCGAACAGCCGACGTGTCCAGTTTCATATACTGTGATAAATCATGATGTCGTAAAATGTAGTGACCAAAATTACTTTCATCCGTCAATAACTATCAATTTCGATAAATATTCAAATTAATAAATTATGTCTAACAAAATAATTTTTTTACTAAAATTTCCTTACAATTAAAATTACGTACCGATAAGTATTTGATTATAGCCGCGCATGCACCCAGAGCATTTTTCAAATCGAATTCGGCTGATTGATCATAAACAAGTAATATTAACACAAATATAACTATTCCCGAGGTACAAAGGTCAATTTTATATAACATACGTAAAGTGGTGACTGATATTCCATTAGCCAATAATCGATTCAAATCCTGTTCAATATCTTTATTCGAAAAATCCACTATTGTGATGAAAAATCAAATAAAAAACCAAGAATTATAATAATCAGTCAAACAATATAACTTCATTCATCATTAAAAATAAATAAGAGATGCATTACTTTTTTTCTGTTCAGTAATAACAACCCCACATTTATTCAACACGCCTTTAATCTTGCTCAACTCATAATCTGTTTCAGAAGTCGGGATGACACATTCTTTGACTCCAAGTTGAATAATCATCGACTAATCAAAATAAAATAAAATTTAACGACATTGTTATGAATTTTAATTCGCTGGCCTAAGTAAAATTTAATCAAAATTACCTCAAAGTTCGAATATAACTCATTATCCATAAACTCGGAAACCCCTAATTCACGAATAGACGCATCGGCGAACGCGACACCAACAATTTTTTGTCCATCCTTCGTGCCTAATTTCACGCCTAATACAATTGGAGACGCGGAAATTTCTGCGTTGTTGAATAGTAAGTCTTCGAATTCTTGTAGATTTCCCGGTGATGCCTATTATAATTCATTAATATTCATCTAATCAAGTAATTTAAAGGTTTAAATCGCTTATTTTATAGTTGCGAAATTTACCCGTTTAATTACTTTCCAAACATTTTTTCTAGGTTCACCACCCCAGATTTCCACTTTCATTTGTCTATTTAATAACGCATCACGCAGGAAAGATTCGGCAGCTAGACGAGATAACGTGCAACTGGGAATTCCCTTTTTTACGTCTCCTGTTTGCATACAATATGATTATATGATTATGCATAGCAAGAATAGAATTTGAAATTGACTTACCGCCTAAATATTTAATCACAGACGACGTCTTGTAAAAATTTTGAGCAATGTAAAGAGCGTCTTCTCCATGAATGCTGTAATAATCCTGTATAGAACATATTATCACTTTTTAGCAAATGCATATTGGATAACAAGATTAGCTTTAATTTAAAGGGGACTACTCACCCCTGTACTTCTTTCAAATAATCTAATACAATTTTCCGGTTTCTGAATTTTTCATAATAGTCGGATTAAAACACAAATCAATCGTCTCATCTCATATTTTTTTCACTTACTTGTGGTAACCCTCTAAAGAATAAACAGAACTGCTGTTCACGTTGCTGATTATCTAATAACCACCAAGACGTTTATATTTAATTAATATTAATGTAGAGAAATTGAACTATTTTCTCTTTAGATATTCTTTCCACAGGTAGAATCAATAGATATACAAAGTCATTCTTTATCAACGTTACATGTTCATGTCTAACTATTTCATATGGTTTATATGTCTTTTATCTTAGAAATGCCGCCAAAACATTTTATCATAATATCGTATTTTTAATTAATACATACCAAAAGTCAAGTCTGGTCTATCTTTTAATGAAGCCCCTTCCATGTTTTTTTTGCAAGATATTATTAGTAAGAATAATAAAATGTATGTATTTCTCAAACGCGTAATTTCAGAAATTCAAATAAAATAAAATAAAATGTTTAAGAACAGAGAACGCGGGCACAAAACGCGTAAATTTTTACTCGTTGAAGATTTGCGTATCACACATTTAAAACTAAAGTTACACTATATCAAATCGTGGGAAATTTCCAATCTTTTGCTTCAACATCATCAATAATGCGAAAAACTCGCTTATTTCTTCTATTTACATCATCCTTACTCTTATTTTTCCTGATAACAACACTCTTTCAGTTTTGGTATGAAAATTATTATAACCCATTTCCGGATTGGCATCCGCTAGAACCTCCAATAGACACTACAGCACAAGAACGCGCCGAATATGTAAAAGAAGCGTTCGTGCACTCGTTTAATGGATATAAACAGCATGCCTGGGGGTATGATGAAGTTCGTCCCGTGACAGGATCTACTAGAAATACGCGTAACGGGTGGGCGGCTACTATTGTAGATAGCTTAGATACAATGATACTTATGAACCTTACGAGTACTGTCATGGCCTTTATTTGTCAATATGTGCGTGCAATAAAGTTCGATGTTAATGATTCATATGATTTTATTAGAGGAATATGAATTATCTCGAGAACTTGTCTCGCGAATCGATTTTAAAAAAACATCTGATCTAGTGAACGTATTTGAAACGACAATTCGATATATAGGTTAGCATTATCTTTGGTCTTTTTTATTCCATTTCTTAATCAATTAAATCAATTATTATAATTTATTTTGTTTATAGGTGGACTATTAGCCGCATATGATCTTACAGGCGACAACTTATATCTTGACAAATCAATCGAGCTAGCAGTTCAGTTATTACCAGCTTTTGACACGCCAACAGGTATCCCATTTCAATATGTCGATCTAAAAAAAAAGACCGCAGTTCATAGTCGATTTCCTGGTAAAGCATCTGCCTTGTCCGAATTTGGCTCGTTGCAACTTGAGTTTCGGCGATTAAGTGAATTGAGTGGGAACCCTATATTTTTAAATAAGGTGTACGATCAATGAATTTAAATGATACTTGCTTCATATATAGTACTGCTATTTTTTATTAATTTTATCCGCGCAGCATATTGATTGCGCGTTTCTTTATTATTCAATCATTTGTGTAATTTTATAGTAGGTGTATATGCTATATATTTAATTTCTGTATTATTTTTTCTGTTTGAATAGGCTCAACGAATAATCGATATTTTGCAATCGAAGTCTACAGAGTTGCCCGGCTTGTATCCGGTATTTATGGATCCATTAAATGGAAAATTCACAACTTGTAAGGTTTTTACTTAAAAGTATTCTATTTTATGATATTTGGATTCTTTTTTTTGCAAAATAAAATAAACAGCTGATTTTTATATTTATCAGCATGGATTACATGGGGTGGATTAGGAGATAGTTTTTATGAGGTAATGAATAAATAACATAAAATTATTTTATGTTGAAAAAATAATGCTTTACAAAATATCCACTTGCTAATAATTAATTACGATTTATAATTAGTATTTATTAAAACATTACATTATGGTTGAAGGCACCCTTGATCAATATCTTGATATGTGGTTACTTGCGATTGATTCGACCAAAAAATATTTAATATCTACAGGATTTGGGTTCTCAAATATGACGTATCTGAGTCAGTGGTGGGAAGGAAAACCGTATTATGAGATGTCGCATTTGGTAATTACTATAATTTGTTTGTTTTTTCTTCTCTATCTCTAAAATTATTAAATACCGCTTTTCCACATTATTATTGTTGTTTTATTAATCTAGGCATGTTTTGCCCCCGGAAATTTCCTATTAGGCGGTCATATTCTAAAAAATGATACTTTAATTGAACTAGGACTTAATTTAACTTACACATGCTACCTATCTTACGAAAGCACCAACACAAAGGTCGGCCCTGAAGAATTTGCGTATGTCGGGGCTAATGAGGCACGTAGTCTGCGATGGAATAGGAAACAAAGAAATTCTTATTTTTCGAAGGGAATCTTTGTGACTGATGGACATTACTATTTGAGACCAGGTGCGTGAATTATTTTAATTGTTAACTTCGAATATTAAAAGCAAACCTTTATATCAGTATTGAAATATCTCTATATATTAGAGGTTATTGAAAGCATATTTTATGCATATCGAATAACGGGGGATAAAAAATATCAGGTATCCTTGGATTATTAGATTTAGATATATAATATATATATATATATATTTCTCTGTTCGCTAATATTAATTTTACTCATTTTTTGATTAGGACTGGGGTTGGAATATTTTCAGAGCAATAACCAAATACTGTAGGACACCTATAGGATTTTCGGGTGTTAGGGATGTGACGAATTTGAAGCGTCGTTGGGATAATATTGCAGAGAGGTAAATAATCATTTATATTTGTTTGCATATTTATCGATCCTTAATTCAATTAAGTATAATAACTCGTCTGATTTGATTGTGCTTAGTTTTTGGTTTGCAGAAACACTCAAGTATTTATACTTGCTATTTAATGAAGAGGATTTACTCCCGTTTGATCAGTGGGTGTTAAATACCGAAGCTCACCCTTTTAGGATTGGCGGGAAAAAACCAGCGTCGAGCAGACAAGAAGGTTAAATGCTAAAAATTCTATGATTATTTTATTTTTAGAGATTGTGAATAATCTTATCACTAATATCAAATACATCACCATTACGATCCTCATTTAACTATTAGGAAGTTTCAATAGGGAAAATTGAAAAGCAAAAATTATAATCCTCTTAATTAAATTAAAATTATAAAATTGTAATTAAGCTCTATAATTAATAATGTCCATTCGTGCAAATATTGGTATATTTCACTCTGATATGCTTCCGCCCTTTGGCTAATGAGAGGACTGTCAGTTTGTCATAATGGTCTGCATCAAAATGGTTTTCACCACTATAAAAGAGAAAATGATGCTTAATATAACAGAGTAGCCAAATTTCTTAGTGAATTCAAAGTTTAATTCTCTAATTTAATACACCCAAATTTCCAATAAAAGGAAAATCATTATAATTACCTCCACGATTGTCGCGGAGGCCACGAATAGCTCCTCCTCATTACTCCCACCTCGTTCTTTCATTCGAATTCAGTAGGTAGTCAGCAAAAATGCAAAAGAATAAAGAAAGCTTTCATTGTGCGTACTTACTATATACCATTCGAAAATTAAAGGCGTGGTTGACGATATGCTTGAACCCGAATTTTTAATAAAAATCTCGCATAGTTAAAAATTAAAAATTTTTAATTTAATTGGTTGTCTTCATCTAAAATTTACGTGCCAATCAAAATAACAAATTATTATGCTAAAATATGTTCTCGAATGCAACATTTTGCCTTTATAAAGAGCGATTCTTGAATTTGGTCAAGAAAATGAATGTTGGATTATATTTATATAAAATTCTCAGAGAAATTTCATTTCATGTTAATGTTAATGGTCAGATTGTGCACATTAAAAATTTGGGCTGCACTAAATAAGATTATCAAAATCTACATATTTAAATTTTTGCACTTTTGAACATGCTCGTTTTACCCGGCTCACTTGCTCTCTCTGAGTTTAAGGAAAAATTTCTTTTAGCCAATATCCAAAAAGATTATCCAGATATAAAATCGATTACAGCAATTTATGTACATTTTATTGAACCAAAAAATGCCGCTGCAGAAGAAACCCTCAATAATATTGAGTCTTTTGAGCGTAGAACCCTTGAAAGCTTGCTTACTTATGGTACTAAAATCGATGATGTTAGATCCCGAGAGGCACTCATGAAATATGAAAACGCTTTAAAGAATTCAGTTGGTGCAATTACATCTGATTTTTTTCTCGTTATTCCTCGACCTGGAACGATTTCTCCATGGTCTTCAAAAGCTACCAACATTGCACACGTGTGTAATTTGGAGAGAACTATAGAAAGAATTGAACGTGGTATAACTTATCTATTTGAAACGAAGCTTCACAACAGTGCAATATTTAACGATGCCAATATCCTTAAGCGCATTTCCAATCATCTTTATGATCGTATGACACAAGTAATTTTATCGAAAATCCCAACAGCTGACGTAATTTTCAAACATGGGACACCGGGGCCCCTAAAAATAATTTATCTTAATGATGGTGAAAAGATTATTTCTAGTAATTTAGAATCTGCACGACATAAACTCTATAATGCTAACAAAGAGCTTGGGCTTGCTTTGGCTGATGACGAAGTTGAATACCTTGTAAATGCATTTGTTGGAAATTCTTCATCTAATGAATGTTTATTTAGGAATCCAACAGATGTGGAATTATTCATGTTTGCGCAAGTTAACTCTGAACATTGCCGCCATAAAATTTTTAAGGCCGATTGGAACATCGACGGAACACACAAACCACACTCCTTGTTTGACATGATCCAGAACACTCATATCAAAAATCCACAGTATACGATTTCAGCTTATTCCGATAATGCTGCAGTCTTAGAAGGATTTAATGCTACAAGATATGCGCCGGATTTTAATAGCCAATTCCAATATACTATGAGCAAAGAAAAGGTTCATATTGTTGCAAAGGTGGAAACACATAATCATCCAACTGCTGTATCACCTTATCCTGGAGCAGCGACTGGATCTGGGGGTGAAATACGTGACGAAGGTGCTGTTGGTCAAGGGTCTAAACCTAAAGCAGGATTAACAGGTTTCTGTGTTTCTAATCTTCTAATACCAGAAAATCGTCAACCTTGGGAGACTGATTTTGGAAAACCATCACATATTGCATCGGCTCTGGATATCATGATTGAAGCTCCACTTGGTGGCGCTGCATTCAATAATGAATTTGGACGTCCTGCTATTCTTGGATATTTTCGAACATTTGCTGAAGAGGTTTGTAGTTCGCCTGCAAAATATGAAATTCGAGGGTATCACAAACCAATAATGATAGCAGGGGGTATGGGTACGATAAGACCTGATCATGTTTTTAAGAAACAGATATCTATAGGATCTCATTTATTTGTATTGGGTGGTCCTTCAATGTTGATTGGCTTAGGAGGTGGTGCAGCATCTTCAATGGCTAGTGGTGCTAGCTCAGTTGAACTGGATTTCGCATCGGTTCAGCGTGACAATCCTGAAATGCAGCGTCGTTGTCAGCAAGTAATTGATGGATGTACTAATTTAGGGTATTTAAATCCTATTGAATCCATTCATGATGTAGGCGCGGGCGGATTATCGAATGCTTTACCAGAACTTGTACATGATAGTAATTTGGGATGTATTATACAATTGCGAAATATTCCGAATGATGATCCAAGTATGTCACCCATGGAAATATGGTGTAATGAATCTCAAGAAAGATATGTTCTTGCTATAGCACCCGAAAATATTAAATTATTCGAGGAAATTTGCTCACGTGAAAGATGTCCATTTGCCGATGTAGGAATTACGACAAAAAATCAAGTTTTAGTATTAGAAGATTCATTATTGAAAAACACACCAATTAATTTACCAATGCAAATTCTTTTTGGAAAACCACCGAAATTATCACGTACTATAAATACTCTTAAACCTCAACTTGTCCCATTTGACATCAGTTTGAAACAATATTTATTACCGCGAGAAGAAATCACTCAAGCTAAATTAATTGAGGAATCATTATATCGGGTTCTTCGACTTCCAACAGTTGCTTCTAAATCTTTCTTAATTACAATCGGTGATCGTACTGTTACTGGACTAGTGGCTCGTGATCAAATGGTTGGTCCTTGGCAAATTCCTGTCTCTGATGTCGCTGTTACTATTTCTTCTTATGGCATTGATGTAATAACCGGTGAGGCTATGGCTATGGGTGAACGCACCCCTATAGCTTTGATATCCCCAGCAGCATCATCTCGTATGGCAGTTGCTGAAACTATTACAAATATTGCTGCTGCATATATACAAGATATATCTCAAATTAGATTAAGTGCGAATTGGATGTGTGCAGCAAATCATTCTGGTGAGGCTGCTGGCCTTTATGAAGCAGTTCAGGCAATTGGAATGGAACTTTGTCCTAAACTCGGTATTAGCATCCCTGTAGGAAAAGATTCAATGTCGATGAAAATGAAATGGCAAGAAGACGGAATGGAAAAGGAAGTCACCGCTCCTTTAAGTCTCAATATTACAGGATTTGCACCGGTTCTTAATGTACATAAAACTTTAACTCCTCAATTAAAAATTATTGATGAACCTACAATTATTGTGCTTCTTGATCTGGCAAAAGGAAAACAACGAATAGGCGGTTCAGCCCTCGCACAGGTTTTCAAGCAAATAGGCGATGAAGCCCCCGATGTCGATGACGTCAAATTATTAAAGGATTTTTTTAAGGGTATACAATATTTAAGGGGAGAGAATGATGATCTCATTTTGGCATATCACGATAGATCTGATGGCGGATTGATTGTGACACTTGTGGAAATGATGTTTGCCGGAAACGTTGGTATATCTGTGGAACTTTCGACAATTGTTGGCAATGACGGAAACCTCCTTAAATCATTATTTAGTGAAGAATTGGGTATACTATTGCAACTTCGAGAAGTAGATATTCAAAAATTTATAAATATTTTTGAGGAGACTGGATTTTCTCAGAAATACATCCATAAAATTGGAAAAGTGACAAATACGCAATTCTTGACCTTAATGTTGAATGATCAAATAATTTATGAAGCATCTCGCATTGATTTGCAACGCGCTTGGTCCGAAACTTCTTTTCATATACAGTCCTTGCGTGACAATGCAGATTGCGCAAAAGAGGAATTTGACGGAATATTGGATGCAAATAATCCTGGCTTACATTTTGATTTATCGTTTGATCCTGCAACAGATGTTCTTTCATCATCTTTATTATTAAAAGCTCCTATTGAGCACAAACCAAAAGTTGCAATATTACGAGAACAAGGAGTAAATGGACACAATGAAATGGCCTTTGCATTTCATTTATCTGGTTTTTTGGCTGTTGACGTTCACATGTCAGATATTTTATCAGGAAAAGTAACTTTACGTGATTTCAAGGGATTAGCAGCCTGTGGCGGATTCTCCTATGGGGATGTACTTGGTGCTGGCGCGGGTTGGGCTAAATCAATATTACTTCATCAAAATGCACGACATGAATTTTTTCATTTTTTTAATAATCGTGATGATACTTTTGCACTTGGTGTGTGTAATGGATGCCAATTTTTTAGCCACTTAAAGGAGTTAATACCGGGCGCCGATAATTGGCCCTCGTTTAAACGTAACAAAAGTGAACAATATGAATCCAGATTTACCTTAGTAGAAATTGTCAAATCTAGTAAAAATAACATCGGAGGTGGTAAAAGGAATTCGATTTTCTTTAACGGAATGGAAGGCTCTATTTTACCAATTGCAGTCGCACATGGTGAAGGCAGAGCGGAGTTTAACTCACAGGAACAATTAGATTTATTAATACAACAGGACCTTGTAACAATAAGATATGTTGATAATTATGGAAAGGCTACTGAGAAATATCCATTTAATCCAAATGGGAGTGTTGGTGGTATTACCGCAGTGCAAACGCCAAACGGAAGGTTTCTAGCGATGATGCCACACCCGGAACGTGTTATTCTTAAAAAGACAAATTCATGGTATCCACCAGATGCTGGGAAGAATTGGGGAGAATACGGACCTTGGTTAAGGATTTTTCAGAATGCAAGAGTTTGGGTTGGATAATGTCACGCGCTTTACATTTTCGCATTTTTGTAAATAATAGAAAGTCAAATTCATGTAATATATACAAATTGACTTGCAAGAATAAAATTAACAAATTTCATCTTTTTATATAATTCATTGTGACACTGAATTAGGTTATTGTTGATCACGTTAGCAGAAACCAATTTTTCGATTAGAAATCGATATGAAACAGTAACCCGAAAGTTTAACTGATCATTTGTTAATTTTTACGGAAATTTTAGAATTCCGCATCAGATCTCTCTAAAAACACTTAAGAAAATGTCCTCTAAAGCAGAAGAAACAGTTAAAATCTCCGAAAAAATAGCACAATACGAAAGTTTCCTAAACGATAGACTAAAACCAGATCTCAAAAAAACATTAGAGCTGCGAGATGCCGTCTATGATCAACTCACTGAATAGTATGAAAATAAATTCTTCCATTGATCGATCGATTATTTACATTTTTCGAAACATTATTAAATAAAAATATGAATTTAAAGTTTGAAATTAAAGGCACAAATTCGCGTAATTACCGAAAATCAATTAACGGAGCTGAAGACGATGGTAGATTTAGGCACAAATTTTTATGTGCAAGCTAAAGTGTAGGTGCCACCACTTTCAATTACACAGCAAAATGAAAATATCTTATTATTGCATACGATGATGGCCTCTTAAAAAGTCCAGATACCACGTATATATTCGTGAACGTCGGATTCGGGTTCCACGTGCAATTAACGTTGGCGGAAGCCATTGAATTTATTGATCGAAAAGAAAAGGTTTTACAACGGTAAATTCATAGTCCCTTAATAATATATCCTGTGTTTCAATCTCTTCCCCGTTTGATTCTCATGCTCACTTTTGATTTATTTGCCAAAAAGAAAAGCAGAACAATATACCATAAAAGAATCAAAAATTAAAGCGAATATTAAATTGGTGTTAGAGGCATTGACTGAAATTATGAAACTAGAGAAAAACCCACAATTGGAATTACGTGATGATTTATTTGTGTGAAATAGGAATTTTTTTAATAAAGTAGTTTCAATCCCACTATCATAAATCATTTATTAAGTTATAATTGACAATTAATAAAAAAATATAAATTCTGAGAGCTCAAGATTAAATGTTCACCAACACTTTATCATCGCTGAAAAATTTATCTATTTTTAAGATTATACAAGTATTTATGATTTTTTTGTTTCTATCTATTAGTACAGCCAATCAAAACGAGAATGCAATAAATATATGTATTATCGGTTATAAGACTACTAAGTGAAATTTTTATTTGGTTCAGAAGAACCGCATTGTCGTATTAGCATGAACTTCGAAATGCAATCGCATCGCTTCACGCATCTCCATGAAAAGTTGCGTGGATATCATGTCTTCGCTCATTTTCAATGGCGGGTCGTCAAACATTGATCGTGCTTGTCTGATTTTTTGCTGAAATTCGGGAATGTCTGAAGTCTCCTAATTTTTACAATTCAATAAAAACACTTATTTTCAGGAAAAAAAGACACTAAATACTATTCAATCTCAACTTACTTGAGTAATAATACTATCAAGTAATGTACACCATTCTTGCGAGTGTAACATTACAATATCCGAGCCGCAAAGATGTAGAAACGTGATCAAGTCCATAAACATTTCCCAGTATGGAACAAGGTTGGGCTTTTTTATAAAATTTAATATCGAATCAATTTCTACTCCAAAATCAATATATGTGAATTTTTTAAAAATATATACCTGAACCTCCTTTTCAATTATATTAGAAGTCAACTGTTGTCTCATAGAAGGCCAAATTGAATTCCAAAACCTTCGTTCGGCCATTCCTAGAGAAACAGTTAATCGTCGATGAACACGAGAGCCACTATTACTATTTGAAGAGCCACTTCTACCATCGTCGGTGGATGATAGTCTTGTTGCGTAGCCACATAAAACAGTCCAGATTTTTACCAAGAGAAATGCCTGATAGACCAATTCACCGGATGGAGTATACAAATAGTTGAGTTCCGGACTAAGTATTTCATTGAATGGCTGGCGAAGCGCATGATTTAATAAGTCGGCAATGTTGTCTTGAAAATCGAAGATTGTTGTAATTAGACCGGAAGAAGTTGCTTCTGATTTTGACATGCATAGTAGAACCCAATCAAGTAGGCGAATGGTACGTCTTGAATCCGTTGGCTTAGTGCGAAAAGAATATTATAATTAACATTGATTTGACTTCTCTGTTTACATTCTTTAAGTTAATAAATATCTAATCATTACCTTTTGCCACAAGAAAATTTTTGTTAATAAATCATATTTCTGATTGCACATGGCAACCACCAGCTGCCCAATACACACGCCAACTTTAAATTCTTTTTTCGAATACTCTTTTGTATGAGTCGGACTTTCCAATAAACTCACACAGTCATCAAATAAACTTTCCGCGACATTTGCAAAATAAGAATGTCGATTCTCATTGGTGGTGATATGAGATGATTTGTCATGTAAACTACGAATATTATTATTATTATTGATATCCAATTGTAATTTGCGCTCAAGATTCTGTAGCCATGGTCGAGAAGCTGGATCCATATCAGCCAGAATTAACTAATTCAACAGTGTTGTTATTAATTCCGTATGCTAACATATTGCTCGCTCACCAAAAGTAATATCGGAATAGCAAACAAACCTGAAGTAAAATGATAAGAGTATCATGATTCAACCGCGATTTACTCCCTCGGAAACTTGATCTCAACTCCTCAATAACAACTTCACCAAAAACGTTAACAAGGCTAAAATGACTACTAATAGATTGAGCTACCGACGTGTAAGAAGCTAACAACTTGAGACAAGATTCTACGGAGATTATGCACTTTTGAATGGCATGTCTGAATAGACTTTTTATGCTTGGAATTAATAGCTACAATTTAATCCAACAATTAATTTTTTAACTATTAGCTAGAAATAATGTCAAGTTCTAGTTTATAATTTATTCACCTTGGCATATTTTGAATTTTCCTTGAAAATTGTTGCAGCCATCTGTAAAATCGGATTAATATCCCATTCACCGCGTTTCCATTCACTTGTATGCTTAGCCAATTTATTAAAGAAGGCCCCTATATCTGAAGATTTATTAATAAATTAGTGATGATACTAATCAAATAGATTAAAAAACTAAAAAATTCACATTTACCTTCTATCAGTTGTTCTTCGTACGGTTTCGAATAAACCAACTGAACATATTTGTTCAGATTACAAAGAATCGTCGAGACAATTTTCCGTACATTGAATTTGAACACTTGATTCATGACATCGCGTATCGGTTGTTCACGAAGATAAGTGGGTCTTTGGTTTTCATCTTCGGCCGGGATTACTTCATTACCAATTACTATTCTTAGGACACAAAACATATCAAGTTCGCTGTGATTGTCATCTGCCACCTCTTGATTCTAATAACATATTTGTAAAAAAAAAATACTCAACAAAGCATAAGGTATTAATAACAATATCATAACATTTATAAGAATTTTTATTTGAAACCTTGAATATTAACACAAATAACCCATTCAGCGCGAATTTCAAAAATGCCGTACGCAAAAAGTCACGAGCATTATTCACTATTTGATTTGATGTGTCGCATTTCAAATTTGTCATCAATTTCCCAAGAATAATAATCTGTTTGCCAAGGACGTTTACCGTCAATGTAGGCGATCTCTTTAAGAGACATGCTGAGAGTTCTATGATGAGCAGTTTATTCTCGTTGCTGACGTCTTTAGTTAATAGTTCGGATATTCGTCGCATAGCGTTCACAATTTTTTCTTCTAATTCTTTATTTCGTCTATCTTCAATTTTATGCTAATAAAAAAATGAATATCACGAGTTCTTTTAGGGTTTTTTCAAAATAAAAGAAGATGAACAACTTTAGTCACCTTATAAACAATAATAAGCATCAATTCGATCCAATTTTTGAGCATTAAATGACTTAACGTCGACATATCAACCGAAGAGTTAAACATTTTCAGCACCATATCAACAAAACACGCGCTCACAAATTTTTCATTTTGTTCAACTATTGTGGATGACGACAAAGATATCGACCGCGATATTTCCTCGGCGACATCAGGATCAGACATAAAGTATATCGGAGTATCAAGAATTTTTTTCAGATTACCGAGACACGCAATCATCATCATATTTTGGGAAAAATCGTCAGCTGTGTATTTAAATTCGCCATGATTGATTTCCGGTTGATCGTTGTTGTTTTCCACACGACAATTGATGAAGCCAAGACATGACATCGTTATACATTTCAGTTCTATGACTTCTTGCTTTGTAATTTCTATTCCATTTCCAACCATTTGTAGCGCGAGTGTTATTAAAAGGACCTGCACCATCAATTAGAGATAATTAGTAAAAAATAATTTCGAAAATAAATGGAAAAGGTCACCATCATAAGTACCTTTAGATTTTCTTCTTCAGCCATTTTTTGCCCCGGATCTGTAGTTTCATCATGAAGCTGTTTTAAGCCAATTACTAAAATGCTGTCCGGCCGCATATAACTTTCCTAGAATATATTAAGACAATAACAATTCACAAAAAGACCAAGATATCCATTTATATAGACAAATTAGTAATCATAATTACGAATCGAGTCGAATCAATAATTGTGAATAAAAATACAAGTTATGTATACCAAAATATCTGCAGCAGAAACAGATTCTTCAATCTCTTGAGACAACGCTTTGAAAAGTAAGCTCCAATCAATCACTATGATATAAGCAAAATAAAAATATATAAAATCTGTTCCAAACAGTTAATAAATAGCTGCTTTTATTATAATAGTTAATAATATTACCTTGCAAATCAGGAAACTGAGCATTAAACCGAATCATTAATTTCGCAAGCAACGTCCGTTCACGAATATTCGCCGTCTCGAAATACTCTTCCCAGCATTTAATCGCCAACTGAACTTTAAGTCGCTGCATGGAACGAATATAAGAGATTGCTTTTGTTCGAACGTATTCCTGTTTTTAAATTGATAAATATTATAAATGATGACGCGGCCAAATCAGTTCTATTTTTAATTTTTGAATTTAATAATTAATATTATTATTGTCATTAACAGTACCTCTTTATCCCAAAGACAACCGACAAAGTAACTGAAAATTTGTCCCAAGTGAGCAAATACCCCGGCCCATTGCACTTGATGCTTTTTATCGAGCTTTGAGAATATGCCGTACAAGTGATCCAATCCTTTAAATCTTTATTTTGTTTGATATTATGTTTGATATTAATTTATTTGAAAATATATAGGAAATTCAACCTCATAAAATGATATTAATAGATTACTTGCCTAATTTCCCAATCTTCGTGTTCAAATATTTTATTGACAAATGCACGAAAAGAAGATGCATCTGTCCATATTAATTTCATTAAAAGACGCATTGTGATCTCAGAATCGGCATCATATATGGGAGACACTATTTCCCAAATACTTTCATCAAATATATTATAAATAGAAAGAAAAATAAAGTTTAAGAATTATCTAAAAAAGATTTTTGACAATGAGATAGAAAAACAAACCTAGGCAACAACTTCGAAATACAACTATTCAAGAATTCATTTTTATTATAAATAAGACCACCCTTCTCAAATAGACCCCAGAAAGTCTTCATTAAATCTCTCATGATTCCCAATCTTTCGAATTTTGCATAATTGAACAAACATTTAACAATTGGCGAGTCTGCAGTCAAATTTGATCCGGGAGTTTGATCGGGTAACGTTGAATGTCGTTTTGAGGATTTACTAGTCTTTGGACTTTAGTATATTGAAACAAATAATTAGAATAATCAATTTTCCGATTATACATTCTTAATAATCAAAAAACGAGAAAAAATTTACTTGCCTTAAGTTCGTTTCTCTTAAAGGTATGCCATTCAAAATCTCGAGGGAAGAAATAAAGTCAAGTGGGCACGCAAAAGAATGCAGTGTCAATGCCATACTAATTTTCACGAAACGACGAGCACTGCAATGCAATAAAAATATAAAATTTATTTGGAGTAATACAACAATAATTATAGCGTGAAAAAAAAAACGACAATATACCTTGCAACATCGAAATCCGATCCAATCGAGTCAGAATCGTGTACCATGTCCATAGCAGCCAGATTAATATTGGTAATTAGTTCCAAGACATCCTGACGTTTTAGTAAATACCCATACACGCCAATCACTTGATACCATATAATTTGCATGAATGCAGAATATTGCTCGAGTTTTGGTGAGACATCTGCCAGTAATGGAAGAAATTCAGAATACACCGATCCTGGAATTCCGATACTGTTAAATTTTCAAAAATTTCATCTCTTCTTTTAATCCAACTCTCGTTTATTAGACGAATCATGAATTATAACATCAAAATTATGACTCACCTTCCACGTACCAATAATTCCATCCATTGCAACCCACGAGACACCGATTTTGTATCTCCTTTTTGAAATATTTCTGTAAGAGCTTTCATCGGATCATCAATATCGATTACCGAATTATCGAAATTCAGCGTAAAGATGTTATCGCTCGTGCTTAACCTTGATCCGGTACTTTTCGACATGAAAATACGTTGTAAAGATTTGAGCTCGATAAAAATCTAGTGAGAACATAAATAAAAGACCTTATAAATATCCTAATAAAAATTGTAAACGAGAAAATTGAAATCAAAAAAGAAAATTACCTTGTCTGCGGGTAAATTTGCTAACAAAAGATACGTATTATCTAACCATCGCCCCATAATTTTATTAAATGGCGAAAAGAGTAAACCAGCACTCCAAAGTTTAATGAAATAATGTAGAATACGTTCTTGTTTTTCAAACGCGTGATCCTATCAAGAAAAAAATCAAGTCATATTTATCAATTAATTAAGCTTGTCTATAAGGGGTTTGCCAGATATCAGCTGTTATAATAGGGCGGGGCCTTATTATTTAGAATATCACGTGAAAGTGTAAAGACTTAATCTCCCCTGGGAAGTCCCTATAGTGAATGCATATTAGCTGATATCTGGCATGTTCCTAAACCAAATTTACTAACTTGCATCTTATCATCCGAGACCTCTCTGTCATTATGATGTTCTTCCACAACAATCACTTGACTATAAATCATGTCACGATATAATTCCGGATCCATTTGATGTACAGACAACAGCCAACCCCAAATATATTTCTCTTTTAACATTTTCCGACTAATCACATAAGCACCACCTCCAGAATTATTAAAAGTGGAATTTCGTTTATTTACAGCGGTTGCACAAACAGAACCACTTGCACTCGGAATAGTACGATCATCAAAGTCATCCCGGACGCCTGGCAACTTAATGCCAACCGCGGTATATTCTCGAGCAATCACCATTAATCGATCATCCTCAGAACAAATCCATGCAATAATCGCGTGAATAAGTCTTTCTAATGTGTATCGTGATAAAAATGGATCAGGCCAACATCTTCGTGTCAATAATAAGAATCCGCATTCGTTTATTGCGACATTTATGTCTTTTAGACAGGAGACAATCGCGGAGATTAATGTTTCTACATTTGGAGTATATTCAATGCCGAAAGGAAACGGAAAAGTGCAATCTGTTTTGTTTCTAGAATTATAACTGCTGCTGCTATTCGATATAAAGGCCGCAATTTCTGAATTAGAGAAAATAACTGGATGTCCATCAATCCTTTCAACAAATCCCAGATTGGTCATTTGTTGTATTAAAATTTTACTAGAAAATTCACTCTGAAATCCTAAATTATTTTTCACCCATCGAATCATATCACTAGCGGAAAGACTTTCCACCGAAGTCACATCATCAATTGAGTCAGCGGTTGTACTGGTAGATGTCGGAGTATTAGCACGACCATTGGAGTTTACACCTAGATATTCATTGTGATTATTGATCTCTCTATCAAATCCAGCGCCTGATTTGATAAATGCCGCTAGATGTCCAAGGTATTCATCTTCACATAGGATCCAAGGATGATGACGTTTTTGTTGTTCTTTACTGCCATGATTCGAAATATTTGGTCCGAATACACCTTCCCAATACTCCTGCGATATCGTTGACTCACTAATACCTGCACCAAGACCAACAGTCGTCGTCGAGCCTACACGTTCACTATCAGTGAAATAGAATTTTTTATATAAGCTTAATAATTCATGTAACTCAAATTGTTTGAGTTTCTCTTGTTGCGCAAGTGGATGATTCTCAAAATGTTGACGGACTAATAAGCATCCGGCTAAGATTCCATTATTCACTATACTATCCTGAATTTCTAAAATACTTATCATCACAGACAATTCTTCAGCTGAGTAGGATGGCAATTTTTCACTTGATACTACTATTGGATTATAATATTGTAGAAAAGTTTTACGGAGTGAATCATAATCAATCAAGGCGTCCTCTTCATTCATATTTCCGCTATGTGGGCATGGTTGAAGATGATGCTGTTTTTGTGAATCAAGACAATGAATATGTAGAAATCGGTTACAATATTCGCATCTGTATCCTTGATGCATAATTCCCCAAAGTGGTTCATGACAATTCATACATAAAACCAAAGTGAATAAATTAATTAAGTGGAATTTGTGCCCGTTTTGATTTTCTATCGTTATTAAGACATCGTTATTATTATTTTGATTACATTTGTCGTCATCACCAGAGACAACTCTTCGAGGATTTGGCAATATATCACAAAATCGAGGTGTTGACAATTTATGGATACCTGAAGCCAACAAATAATTAGTCAAAAACCCACCATCGGTCGAATTATAGCATCCAAAATGTAGATTAATCTTGCATCCATTACATCTCAGTCCAAATCCAATCACCGGCTCAAAACATTGCATGCACCCGTTTGGATTTTCAGTTGGCATCAATTGGCCATGCATCTCTATCAAAGACGTGCGTTTGCTCACCGTAAGCGTAGCGCGTTTATCTTTAAAAGAGGATGATGTGAAATTATTAACACGTTCGATGAAAATATGCGGTAAGTATTGATGAGTGTGTTCATTCTTTGTTGAAATAGGAAAATCTGGATGTCTCGGAGGCTGCAGCTTCTGGTGTGAGTTGTTTAAAGAAGTTTGCTGTCGCTGATGTAGTTCTTGCTCTTGCTCATATTGTTCTTTTAGTACCAAATCATCCTTATAACTAACATTCTGAAGTGGCTGCCCGATAACAGGATGTCCAGTACAATTACCCCAAAAAAAGAAGAGTATGTTGATAGCTTGAGCACGGCTCGATTCATCTCCGAAAGCAACAACCTCAATAAGATCATGATAGAGCTGTGGTTTGCTTTTAATCATTATTGCTAATGTTTGATGCATATGAAATATTGTTTCCAGTGATGATTTTTTCGCATTAATATATTGTACGATAGAATATAAAAGTGGGGTGAACATTGAATCAGCGTAATATTCTTCTATTTCCATATCTTTTTTATACGCTATTGACATCATTTGATGTTGCGAT